AATGGTATGACTTATTATATTTATATTTATATTCGACGTAGAACAAACAATCAATAATGTATAGGTTAAAAATCATTCTTAAAAGCAGTAGTATAGATATATTTTAATAAATTATAGGGCCCCCTTTCATAATTGCTTGCCTAAGCCACTGCGCTGCTAGTGTTCGCATGCCCGTGTTGAAATATTTTCGAAGCAAGCTGCGCACATAATGACCCCCTCGTCAGGCACCAACCATGTCCCGTCTATGTCCAATGCCCCGTCCCGGCCTCAGCCAGTGCTGGCTGGCTGGCTAGCTGGCGTCTCTTGCTGCTGTTGCCTCGGCCGCTATTTTTATGTACAAAATACATGGCACATAAATTGTTTCAGGCCGGCAGAAGCAGAAGCAGAATCACAAGCAGAGCCAGCGCCACAGAGCCAAAGCCGGAGCCGAGACCGTTCAGATTCTGATTGTGATTCTGTTCCTGTAGCACACCAATACAGATGAGAGACAGAGTATGAGAATGAGAATGAGTATGAGAAAACAGGGTTGAATGCAGTTCTGTACGCTGTGTGCCTGCTTGCACATGGACATGGCGTTTGTTTTTCGGTCTCTGTTTTTCGGCTGCTGCTGCTGCCGTTGCTGCTGCTGATGGGAAGAAAAGAGTATTTTTTGTTCAATTCTTTTTCTACGCCTGTTTCCGCTTGCATGTTGTTGTAGTTGTTGCTGTTGTTTTTGTTGTCTGCTGCAGTTTCGAGTGCCTGCTGCTTCTGTTGTTGTTGTTATTGTTGTTGCCTGATTCACACATCCCTAATTGAATTATCACGCATAAGCGACAGCCAAATTCAGATGAGAGATGTGAATGAGATGAGTTCAAGCCTGAAGCTGTTTTAGGTGCCAACTGAAGCAGATCGAACAGTCTCCCCCTGACCCACTCCGCAACCCCCCCTCGTCATATTCATATTTGTGTTATTTTTAGACACTGATTTTTACAATAAAAACTAATTAGAGTACTGAGTGCGAGTGGCTGAGTTGTTAGAGATGGGAGCGTGTCGTGACAATGAAAACTCGTGCGTGTTCTGTTCTGCAGGGGCTGTAAATGTAGTTTGAAAACTAAAAACAATTACAGAAAATAACATTATTTTCAATGCATTGAAAACACTTCTTTTTATCTCTTTCGAAAATAGCATTTTAGAGCAAAATATAAGAAATATTGAATAAAATTGTACTTATTTTTAATAAAAATATGACTTATAAATTGTGAATATTAAAATCATTAAAATATTCGTGTGACATTTCTACCTTTTCATTCAGCCTAATGGTAAAGCTAATGAATTTAAGTCATTAGCATTTAGTGAAACTACTCCAAAGTATTTCGAAAAATAAGAGCAAAGAAAAAGTCACGCGCTCATCCCTAACAGAGGTGTGCGGTTTTGAGTGGGCTTCAGCCCTAGAGCACGGGACAACCGGCTACCGTTAGAGACGGCGACAGCAACGGCAACGGCGACGCCTTAGTCACAACCGTAACCCAAATGCGGCTCAACTACACTGCGAAATACCCTATATAGCAGAATATGTACATAAGAATGTATGGCTTATGTAAAACTCGAGAAAGGTTTTCGGTGTTGGTTTTATGTACTTCACGCCCATGCCCGTTTGCCGTTGCCGTTGCCTTTGCTGCTTGCTGCGAACGAGGGTTAATCAATGCTTTGTGCGCTGTTCGTCGTTCCTTTTGTTGTTGTTGTTGTTGTAGCATTTCCATTTTTATGTACAATTTTTCATATTGCGCTGTGCGTTGTGGCTTCGTTTTACAACTAGCATTTCTTTTTGCATTTCCATTTCACAGCATTCGCGCGCGCATGTTGTGTGTGTGTGTGCGTGAGTGTGTGTGTGTGTGCGGTTTTGTGTTATCGCTGTTGCAGTTGAAGCATCTGATGAGACACGTTTCAAAGTGAAGCCCTGAGCACAACCCTGCTGTACCTTGTACTCTGTACCCACACTACTCCATCCCTAAGCCAGGGCTTTGCTATGCCCAGCAATTTAGTCTTTGGGCAATCGCCGTTAGCAAGGCAACAACAAACCCTCCACACTTTACTCACTCTATCATACACTCCCTCACCCACTAACTCACTCTCTCACACACACACACAGTGGCACTCGAAACCGAATCGTGTGCGTTTATTGTTCCATTCTTTTTCGCTTCTTGTCGCCACTAATTGTAACTGCAAATGCACACACACACACACACACGCATACACTGTGTATATAAATGTTTGGTATATAGGGCTGCCTTTGTAGATAGCATCCATCCATTCATTCGTAGCAGCATTCGCTGTTTGTTAAATAAATGCGCCCTCTTCTCTTCTTCTTCACTTCACTTAACATCACTTTTGCTGTGAGTTTTCTCTTGGTTTGCCTGCCTTCATATTCGTCTGCCTGCGTTCAACGCACTTCCTTCTCCACGTTTTACGTCTGTCTGTTTGTCTGTATGCCTGTCAGAATGTGTGTGTGTATATATATGTGTGTGTGTGTGCTTGTATCTAGCTACACAGCGACAGCCCCACAGGCCAAATTTTGTCATTCGCTTCATTCCTTCGCTGCTGCTGCTGCTCCTGCTGCTGTAGAAGAAACTGATATTCGAAAGCTGTTGTTGTTGCTGCTGCTGCTGCTGTTGTCTGTTACCGTTGCTCTGGGCAAGAATTTCGAGCATTTCTCGAAAGTTATTTGAGGGATGGCGCGCTCGGCGTTTTCTGTCTGTGTTTTCTGTGTTCTGTGTTCCATGTGCGCGTCTGGGAAGCTTCAATGGATGGGATGGCCTCTGATAGCATCTGAGTTACTTTTTAATACATTTCAGCTAAATGGATATTGAGACTGATAAGCGAAGAAGCGTAGACTCCGGTCTCAACATGTGGAAGGGGCGAGGCAATGGTTAAAGGCCCTGTCTACTTGTGTGTAAACATTTATTAAATGACATTAAATTACAAGAATTTATATTGACATTGAAAAATTGAAACAGCAATCTTATCCTTTATCAAATTCTATACTATGTGTAAGCTTCTCACAATGCAGTTAAATTTCCAAAGCAGCAACATGTTGCCGTCGGCAGCTTTCTTGAAAATATGCCTTATGATGTTAGTCGGTTTCTATCGTAAACTCTAAGCTCTAAATCAGGAGGAATCAGTCGAGTCTTCAGCAGAATGGTATTGACAAGCAATGTGCTTGTACAAAATACAACTAACAACGTTTTCAACGGATGTAACCGACTGTGGAATACTCTGATACCGTTGTATTGCCAGCTGAAAACAGGTTCAAAATAACCACATAAGTAAACTTTCTTCCACTCAGCTAGAAAAACATTTAATATCCCTGAAAAACATGTTTTCAACTCGAAAGTCTTAGTAAGCCTCAACCCGACGAAGGTTCTCGCAAGGTTCTCGGATTTATGTAAGAGCTTTGGACTCAGAAGGGGGCAGGATAGATCCCCCTATAATAATAATAATAACTTCCCTTCAAATTCGCTGAAAAACAAAAATTTATTAAAATATTAAAGAGAAGACGAATATCGAGGAGTTATCAAGGGTTTATTGATTCCTCAGCCTCCTAGTGGGTGTGGCATCCCAATCTTAACACATTGTCTAACACAAAATCTTCTATCTTTGGTATCAGAGTTAAGAAACACTAAACTCTGCTAAGAATCTGCGCGGTGAACATACTTGGATTATTAGATACAAATACTAGATCTTAGTTACTAGATACATCTATGATAAGCTTAGTAACCAATCTGCAACAAGCAATTTCTACGCATGTCAGCGATTATAGTCGTCTTCTAAAGGATTTCCCTCTAAAATTCATTGTATCTTTGGAGACCCATAGAAACCGCGGAACAATTCTGGTGCTTCTGCCCAGCACTTGCCAGGAAACGGTTGGCAATCCTGGAAAGCCATTCTTTAACTAGCTTGACGAGTGTTGGAGAAGTCCAACCTAGATCCCCTATGGCCTATATATATGTAAAATGGCCTGTGTGTGTCAACCGTTTTAAGGTAACCATAATTCAATTCTACTCGGAAGTTGCAGAGCATTTGGAATCTAAGCAACTTCAAGACTGCCTATCTCTTTTTGCTAATTAGCCATCAGATACAAAATAGCGCCAACTATACCAACACAATAGATACAAAATTAACTCAGCGAAGCTCAAAAAGCAGACTCAGTTTCCAGCGAATGGTTGCTGTCAAAGCGACGGCATTTGCGGCATCTGCTGAGAATGTGTTTCATACGAAAACCAGTTTGAAAAGTTGCCCCAACTGCGAACTCCAACTTAAATCGAGTCAAAACCCAAAAAATATGACAATGAAAAGAGAATCGAAACGAAATACTTAATTAACATTTTTTAATTACGATACGCGCAATGCTGTACCAATCCATTTCGAGACTGTGCCACTGAGCACGCCCCAAGAGTGTTGCACCGTCAGGCAACCACCAATCGAAAATGACGCACTTCGTGCTGTGCACCAATCGCTGACGAGGCACGTAAAGCGACCAATGCGTCGCCAGCAGCGTTGACTTGCCGATACGTGTGTAGAGCTCTCGTATTTGATGATGAGACATGGCAACTCTACAACTCTACACAGTGTAGAAAAAGCTCACAAAAGCTTCGAGAAAAAAGCTCCGCGATGCACACGAACAGCAAATGAAATGAAAAGCAAATCAGTTCTTTCCACGTGGAAACGAATAAATAAAAAACATAAATTTTAGCAAATTTAATTTGTTTATTTGTCTTGTATTTTATGTTGAGTGATTGTACAGTTATGCTATGCAGCATAGCTGTAAATGTACAAAATATATGTAATTGTTGGGGAACAGCAGAAGTTTCCAAGTTGATTTCCCGTCGAATTTCAATGCATACTTTTGGGTATATCTTTTGTTAAATCACAAATCAGACATCCCCTGTATAGTAATCGATTGGAAATAATGGTTTAAAAGTTGGGAAAGATAAGTATTCCTATTTTTAATCATTACGTTTGAATTAGAAATTAGAAAAGTCAATTTATTTTTATTTCATATTTCATTTGGCTTAAATTCGAACACCTCCAGTAATGAAATTAGTTAATGAATTAAATAGGAATGTGTCTGACAATTAAGAATATCTTTTGTTATTCAGTTCAATTTTTTTCGTTTTAATAATTGTTTAGTGACTGATGAAATACAAATAATTTAATTGATAGACAAGAAATGTTGTTGTTATCATTGGGAAGCAGTCTAGGAGCGGACGAGCACCTCGTAGCTGTCCAGGCGCACCTCCTGTCCGCCGAAGGGGATGTACAGGCAACGATGCGATTGATGGATCTTGCCGGGCGTAAAGCTGCCATTGTAATGACCACGTCCAATGTACAAGGGTTCGCCGTCGCTGGTACGGCCACAGATGACGGCGCCAGGTGGCACATTGCCATAGGAGTCGGGCACCCAACCATAGCCGTAGCCGGCAAGCAGCTCAAAGTCATACTTGACGTGCTCCTGTCCGCCGTACGGCACATAGGCACATCCCTTGTTGGGTATCACCTTGGCCGGCAGCAGATCACCCTCGTGATAGGCACGGCCCACATAGATGGCATCGCCATCACAATCGTGTCCGGCCAGAATGGTGCCGGGCACAATGTTGCTACCGGAGCTATTCACCCAGGTCTCTGGCTGCACCAGCACCTCGTACGAGTCCAGCCTGTGCTCGGCGCCACCGTACGGTATATAGAGGCAGCCATGCGACGGATGCACCTTGCCGGGCGTCAGACTGCCCTGGAAATAGCCGCGACCAATAAACAGAGCCTCGCCATCGGATGTCTGACCGACGCGAAGGGCATGGGGCGGCACCTCGCCACCGCTGGCCGGTATCCAGCAGTAGTGGTGTCCCGTTAGGATCTCAAAATCATGCTTGTTGATCTCCTCGCCACCCCAGGCGACATACGCCTGATGCTTGTTGGGTATCACCTTGGCGGGCAGCATGTCACCATTGTGAAAGGCCCGACCCACATAAATCGGATCATTGTCCGAATCGTGTCCGCCAATTACGGCAAATGGTGGCATCGCATCGTACGCATTGCGGGCAATCCAGGTGTGATCTGCAAATGGGGATAGCAATTATTGATAACAGTTACCAAAAAAACAGTCAAAAGCCAGAAAAAGCTTTCCCTGCGGTTAGTCTTTCTCTCTCTCTCTATCTCTCTCTCTCTCTCTCTCCTCTCTCTCTCTTTGAGTGAAAGTTGAGTTAGCAACGCGAAATGTTGATTTTATTGAGTCATAAAGTGAAACACTCCTTCGGCTCTTGCAAGCCAGTTGCCTGGCAGCCATTATTGAGTGACGCACGACTTGGTGGCAAGTCTTTGAGTGCTTTTTGTGATTGATTTTCATATACGTATCGAATGAGTTGCACACTCATTCGGATTGAGTTGCACACTCATTCGGATTGAGTACTTTTTGTGGCACACTTCGGCTCAATCGATGAATGAACTCATAAAAATGCTGCTCTTCATTGGATCACAACAGTTGACAACTTGTATTCATTTTTCAATTATATTTAGTGTGAATTGTGTTCGATATATCAATGTGTGTTTGTGTTGAGATCTAAGATAGGGCGAGCAGTTGGGTAGGGCCGTGGCCATGCAGGTGTTTTGGGTGCGTTATCAGGTACAGTTTGAAATCGTGGCATTATTAACACTTCTTATCGGGATCGCCATGAAAGCTAATAAGTTAGCTTTAAGTAGGGTTGGATTGTAACTGTCGCACCGACCGCACCGATCTATTGATATACGACTATGCAGCTTAATATCAAAGACTGTACTTTCAACAAGTTTGTGCTAAAAATATCCTAAGCCTTGTGCACTCGTCTATATAGTTCGCTATCGGTATCAGTATCTGACTTTTTATCAAAACATTTTTACGTTAACTGAATAACACTTTCGATTGATTGGTAAAATTCCATTTTAATTGCAAATCAATTAACAATTCCATTTCTATAACTATTCACTTTGTTTTTAAATGCAATTTTGAATGTATCTTTTGGACTTGTTGCACTGGTATATTCCACAGTTTTGGCCTTTTGCTGGTCCTTGCTTACCCATTTTGTGTGTGTTTTAGTTGGTTATATCTGACGGATGTGGAAACCCGTAACGATCGGTCCGTAGTTTTTATATAGACTGACTGCCTTCGCCGCTTGCAGTTGTATTATAAAGGGGAGACTTTTGCTTATCAACTGATTGTTGACTGTTTTCTGTCGTTAGCCGGCAAATGATAAGATATCGTATCGGAGTCTGCCTCGTTTTTTATTTGGCTTCTTTTTTTTCCAAGTAAATATGTTTGTGGCTGTCTCTCAGTGTTCGCTGTAAGCGACTCAACTGACACTTTGCCGTGGACGACAAATTGTCACACTCTGAGCTGAAATCACTCACGCGGCACAAGTTTTAATGTTTAAATATTGCATTTAGTCAGCCTTACGAAATCAACAATAAACAAATAATTAGCTTTTTATCTATGAATGTACTTTACTCTACTTAACCAGTTGTGTGTGCTTATCTTTGAGCGATTGCATGTTTAAATCTTATCGTGCACTTCTGAAATCCATTTAATCAATAACCTTATGGAAAAAATACATATGTCATATACCAAAAAAAAACAACATGATTTCTAACCGAACCTTGAATCGTTCTTTGAATTCTAACTGAAAAATACTACTCATAAAAATAACTTTACTATTTGCTCACCTTGGTGCATTTTGCTGCCTTTTATTCCGGACGTAATATTTTTGCTACGGATAGAAGCAGAAGTCGTCACTGCACTGCGCGGGTATAATAATTATAATAATTCTAAATTGACATCGCTTAAATACTTCAAACTGCTGGCTGCTGAAACCACAAAAAATCTTTTGTTTCGATTAATCACACAATACGCCGTTGGACAGAATATCGCGGTTTCCAGTTGATAATGATAATAATAACTCCACAGCTGTTTCTGGTTATGTTTTCGTTCTGGGCTTATGACTCAGTCGGAGAGAGAACTTTCATTTAAAGAGCACACGCAACGCCTTCTTTAAATAGCTGCGTGACTTAAAGATAAGTCAAGTTGAACTCAAACTGTCAACAGATAAATTTCATTATAAAGCATTGCTAGTGTTGCTGATCGAGAATATATATATATACTGCATGACGTCGCAGCAGTCTCCTGCATTATGCATCAAAAGATAAAATTATTATTAATAAAAGTTATAATATATATGATATAATATATAACAATTACATTTATTAAATCCTCTGCAAATTTTAAATTGTTCCTGTGGCAGCTATGAGATATATAGACCCGACTACGATGTGTACTGACTGCAGCAAAAAGTCGCATATAGATGCAAAGTTTTCTCTATTTATATTTATCAAAATAGACTTAAAACTAAGAGACTCGGCTGATATTACTGTTCAAGAATATATATATACTGCTTGTCAACAAATATAATGAATAAACTTCACATCAAAATTATAATAACCTCGATAAGGGTATACAAATCGATAATGATCGATCACAATGCGTAATAAAGATAAACAATAAATAACAGCAGCATATCCTTTTGGCATTCAATGACGACAAGCTTCTAACATTTCCAATATTTCAATAAATAAAATATAAATTGCTTAAATCATTTGCCAGCAAAGCTTCCAAATTAACGTTTGCAGTAAAATTGCTTTTTTTTGATATCTTTATGGAGGGTTGTATAATTGTATCAGAAAACACATCCAACTCCAGAAGGTATGTGTATATATTATTTATAATTAAAGTACTGCGACTAAAAATCCCAAAAAAAAAACCTTATCGTTAGTTTATAAATTCTTGGAATAAGTTAAAGAATATTGTTATAAATTATATTGATGTTCAGTAATATATTGTAAGGTTTAAGGTATATTTTACGACTATTTCCTCGTCATATTTCACAATGAATGGAGGCATGGAATGTGTTGTTGTTGTTGTTGGTGGTTGTTGGTTAACTGACAGTCAACATGAGCAACGCACCTGTTGCAAAACCAACGCAAATAGATAAACGAGAAACGATACGAGAAAGTTCCCCCAATTGTATGAGTCATCGCGACTGGAAGAGCTTTTCGAGTGAGACGCACAATATTGGAACTGATAAACCCTTGCCGATAAGGGACACCCGTCAATATCAAATGGAAAAGCTCAAAAGCGATAAAGGCTAAAGCACAAAAACCGAAAAACAGCTGAAGAATCTAGTTTTAAAAACCAGTTCAATTGTCGCTGGAACGCTTAGTGAGTTATCAAGCGTAGAACTTGACGGTTGTCGCCCTGGTATACCCAAGTACCCAAGTGGAAAGAATAATATACAATATCAGTATTATTATATACCATAAATAGAAACATCATAAATTGAACCCAGCGTACGCTTATCAACACAACAGTGAATCATGGGTATGTTATCATATATATATATATATATATGTATATATATATAGCAGATATAAAGCGAAAACATGCGATAAATGCTTAACACCTCCAGAAAAAAAGGATATCATTTAGCATAGTTTTAGTATAGTTCCGTCACACATTAACACCGAGCGTAGCCTGGGCAATCCTGGGTGATCCTCAGCATCAATCTTGTTGTTGCCAATTGGATTGGTGTTGATTACTGTGTTTCTTTGGCACTCTTTTAGGTTCAGTGCAGCCAGGAGCAGTTGTGAGCATTGGTAGGCGAGTGCAAGAAGAAGTGATTTCTCAATTCAACTCAACTCAACTCAAATCGACACTTTTGCAACGCCCCCAAATCGAATTGCGCTTTAAATTCAATTGAGTCAACGACATTTGACAAATGAAACTTTTGCACCGCATTAACAATGCCGTTAACAATGCTATCTTATCGCGCTTGAATATTGCTTATCGGCACAGCCAGCTAATATCCGAAAAAAAACGCTGTTCTCCGCTCCTCTCGTTGCAGAACACACTTGGGTGCACTCGACGCCATATGCCGCACTGCCTCCGTTCGCTGTCGTTGGGGGCCACGATTGCGATGGCTCCCCCATATATGTGGGTCGGTCGTTCCACGAGGGCGAGAATCTGCCCGCCAAGGTTATACCGAGCAAGGGTTGCGCCTATGTCGCCTACGGCGGCACCGAGCACCAGAAGACCCACTACGAGGTGCTAGTCGGCCAGGGCTTTGCCTGGGTCAGCAGCTGCAGCGGTGGTGCACCACCAAATGCTGTGCGCAGCGGCACCACCCGTTCCGGTGAGCCACTCTATGTGGGTCGGGGCAATCACGCCGGTTCGCTGTGCGTCGGCAAGGTGCATCCGTCGCATGGCTGCCTCTACATACCGTTTGGCGGGCAGGAGGTGCGCCTCAACACCTACGAGGTGCTCATCCATCAGCAGCATGATGTGTGGGTCTCCGCCTCGCCCAGCTATACGCCACCCGGTGCCGTTGTTGCCGGCCACGATTCGGATCGCACACCCATCTATGCCGGACGCGCTATGCACGAGGGTGAGATGCTGCCCGCCAAGGTTATACCGAGCAAGGGATGCGCCTATGTCTGCTTTGGCGGCTATGAGTTCCAGAAGCCCACCTACGAAGTGTTGACCGGCCACGGCTATGTCTGGGTGAGACCCCAGCCGCACGGCATTCCACCCAATGCGGTCAGCACGGGTCGCGCCCGCAACGGCGAACCCATCTACTATGGCCGGGGACACCATCATGGCAGCCTGACGCCCGGTCTGATCTCCTCCCGCCAGCGATGCCTCTACATACCCTACGGAGGCCGCGAGATTCGTCTCGATTCCTACGAAGTGCTCTGCCGTCAATAGATCTTCCCTTATGTCCTTGAATTTTTATGTTTTTTTATATCCAGTTTCCTTCTTCCGCTGTTAATGCCATATTCAAATGATTTACAATAAAGGGTTCGACTGCTTCTACAACACATTCCGAACCAGTTTCAGTATCTATATACATATATCTAAGTATAGCTAAGCTTAAGTCTATGAAAATTCCTATTAACTTTATCTTGCTATAAAGACTAAAAACGATTCAAAAAGATTTTGATGTTGAACCTGGAATCAGTTTTGATGATTTTCAAGGGAAATCAAATTCACACATAGCATTCTAAATGGTTAAAAGATTAGGAATACTATTTCAATGTGAATTTTTATTTGCTTTTTATCTAACTATCTTATCTACAAGTCACAAGTGCATATTTATATATATATATATAATCGAATCCATATCTTTGTGTCAACTAATTATCAGAAAATGTATTTTTTCAAACTAATAATTTGTTAATAGAAAATATTATTCTATTAAATTAATCGCTTCCAATTTAAGTTGTCGATGCGTCATAATATATTTACCATACTATATATTATTATTATTAAGCATATTTTAGTATTTTGGCAAATTCTTTAACTAGTTAGAAACACTATAAAAATTGGGGAAAAAGCAGCTGATTTACTACGAAAACAAGATCATTATTAATATAGCATGATGAAATAGCACTTTATCGACATGAAATATGAAGCTATCTTTCTAGACATACATTTATATATATATATATATATATAGATATATGTGGAAATTTGTGATAAAGAGCCGGCATATAGTAAATCAGGCCATAAGCACAATTATGTATGGGGAGCAAAGCAAACAAATACTAAGTAATTTATATGTTTTTTTCTTCAGATTAGATACGTTTTGCTATCGTAAATTTATATTGCGTTGGTATTTTTAAAATTGGCAACTCTTTGGTTTATTTACAGCTTACAAATGGGTGCAGTCCTCGGGCGTATGCATCGCTGCCACAACATGCCGTTGTCGGTGGCAATGATGAGGATGGCGCCATGATATATGTGGGTCGGGCGGAGCACGATGGCAACATGCTCGTCTGCAAGGTGGTGCCCAGCAAGCAGATCGGCTACATTTCGCTGCGCGGCGAAGCGCTGCCCAAGGACAAGTTCGAGATGTTGTGCGGCGAGAATCTGGCATGGAGCAAGTGCTACGATCATGTTATACCCGATACGGCCGTGCTCTGCGGTCGTACTTCGCTGGATCAACCGGTGTACATTGGACGCGGTCACTACGAGGGTCATCTGATCATTGGCAAAATATCGTCGGTGCATCGGGCTCTGTTCATTGCCTATCGCGGTGCTGAGCGTCGTCTGGACTCGTACGAGATACTTGTGGAGGGGGAACGTTCGGTGCCCGGCTGGCAATTGCCGCCACCGCCCATGTCCATGGAGTTGGCGGAAAAGTGCCCGCTAACACCACCGCCACCACCACCGCCGCCAGCAATTGCCCGTAAGCCCTATCCATATCCGCCAGACTTTGATGCGATGCCCTTTCCGCTGAACGACAGGCCGCCACAGTACACGCCCATGCCGATGCCCGGCGCAAGTCCATTTGCAGCAGGAGCACCACCACCACCACCACCAGAGCCAACGATCTTGCCCACATACAAGCGACCACTTGCCGTTCCAGTTGGCATACCACCCAAATCCCATCTGCCGCCAGCCTATACGCCAGCAACGATGGTGCCAGCTGCCACGGTTGGCTTTACACCAGCTCAGGTAGCACCACCTTCTGCTTCCTTTGTTATGCCGGCAGAGACTTATAAGCCACCGCTGGATCCCTATGCGCCCAGCTGTTCCTCCTACACGCCGGCCGAGTGTGCACCATCCTACAGCGGTCCATCCACCCATGGAGCCAGCACCGACTATGATCTGTGGATGGGTGCCAGTCCCGGTTATACGCCACCCGATGCCGTCTTCGGTGGTCACGACAGCGATATGGCGCCGCTGCTCGTCTGTCGCGCCTTCTACGCTGGATCGCATATTCCGGGCAAGGCGGCACCCAGTCATGGTTGCGCCTACATCGCACAAGCCGGACGCGAGCTGGTCGAGTCACGCTACGAGGTGCTCATCGGGCAGTCCAAGTACCACTGGGTGCCTGGCTGCGAGGGCAGCATCGCTGCCGGCGCCGTCGAGGCGGGACGTGCCAGCAATGGAGAGCCGTTGTTTGTTGGACGTGGACACTATTGTGGCAGTCTGACGCCCGGCAAGATTCAGCAGTCGCATCGCTGCCTGCAAATACCATTTGGGGGGCAGGAGGTGCGCATCAGCAGCTATGAGATCCTTGTGCGCAGTGACCTTTATCATCGCCATCAGGCCATCAATTTGAGCTACTAAATCCAAGCCAACTTTGGACAAGAAAACAAAGTTGGTTTTTTGAAAAAGAAAATATTCATAAGAAACTCAATCAAAAAAAAAAATGGAAAAACATTCCCAAAAAGTATCTATTACCTTACATATCTGACTAATATCTGACTTTGATAATGGTAAAAAAAATACTTGGAAAATTGATATAAACCATTTATTCAACAGCTATCAAGTTGTAAATATTTTTAACAGTTTTACTTTTTCGTTTTACTTTTACTTATCAAGCATATCAAGCATAAAATGCTCAAAATTAAAAAAAAAAAACAAACACAATTTTATTTGTAAAATGAACAAAATGCAAAAAAAAAATAAAATATTTTATCTTATTTTTAAAACTGTCAAAATTCGAATTGGCAACACTGAAACGAAAACATATCCGCACATTATATTCCTGAGCAGCTAACTCCAATCGGAGATTTGTTAATTGATGTTATCTAATATATCTGTTTATCTGTATTATCTAATAAAATATATGTTTACTTATTTCTGCGTTTAGTGGCAATGCACAACTTTGAACACGTTTCGCGTAATTCTTGGTATTCTTAAGTGACGATGCTGTAAAAATACTTACTTCCTACATTCGACTCATAAAGTTAACAATATGCGAACTTAGCCTCGTTTTAGCTGGGAGTTTACTGACCCATTGTCCGGGCTTGGGGCTTTTGCGCAAAGAATTGTCAACTCAGTAATGACTTCCCTTCTCTTTTGCCTTAACACACTGACTTGGTTGGCGTTAAGATCATCAAGTTTTGCTGCCTGGTTTTGCCAGTCAACTTGTATAAAACTATGTCATCTCAAAAGCCCCATTTTATGGTATGTATTTCATCTCAATTATCAAAGCTCACGCGTGCCTTTTAAAAATATTACCTAAAATGATTCAATTAAAATCTAAGCAAACGAAAACAAAACCAGCCCCATTATTGCCTTGCCAATGTAAAATAGATTATTATTCAGATTGAAAGTCACGTTTATATTCAAGGCAATCGGACTGAATAATGTTGTATCTAGTATTGTTTATATATTTTACTAGACTGAATATTATTATTATTTGTGGCTGATATTCTATTCGAAGCGTTGCGAATACAGTTCACCACCAAAAGCGACTGATTCCCGCTAAATGCAAGTAGCCAAAACGGAGAGACTATAGAATGTCTCGATCTTGAGGAGCTTAGCATTACGGTTCCTAAATATACCGAAATGGAGAGAGTGCTGCTCCACAGACAGATGGTAAGCATTGCATCTGGAGCATCTTGAGAATCTGAAGAGCAAATTGGAGATATAAAAATTTTGAAAAAGCTCTCTTTGTTAGCGGATTTTTACCATGACAAGGTTACAACTATAAACTATAAATAATATTTACTTATTTACCATTGACAATTTTGAATTATCCACTTTTAGTTTGTAATTATTTTCATTTCATTGAAAATTTCGAGTTGTCTGCTTTTAGTATATGATCGATTAGCGATCATTAGAAATCTACTCCTTACTCTATTTGAATATATACAAACTTTCACGTGTATAGACAATATTTTTTTGAACTGAAAAAGTGAATATTGATTTGCTTGCCAGGTCGTCTCAGGTAAGTCGTATCAGTGACGACAGTGCGAGAGTGATTCCCAAGTATTTTTAGAGCCTGTGTTGGAGTATAAATATCGGGGCTTTTACTCAATTGTAGTTCAGTTCTGTATAAATTGTGGTCGACTAAACTATAAACGAAAGGTTTCATTATTCCATCACGAGCCAGTTGGTAAGCGTTGCCAATCTATACGATGCGGTATTAGCCATTATAGCGTTGAGGGACTGCCATTCATAAATGAGCTGAGAGCAGAGAACTTTACTCAATATCTGTATGTATCTGCGCAATTTTTGATAGTCTAGGCTTGTTGATAATATTGGCGTTTGCTCTTGATTTAGCGTTTATTATTATACTACTCCTCCATTAAAATAAGGCACCGCCAACCGATAAGATTGTTATAAACACCAACCTGCACAGTTGTCACGATTGTAATAATTTGATTATGGATTTACACAAAGTGATGAAATTAACGGCTGCCTAATAACATTATTAATTTAATTAAAATGTTGTGAAATATCGTGAAATATCGGAAATGTGCTTGCTGAATATAAACACAAACCGTGTAGTGCTGTGTTAGTGCAGAGGTATATAAAATATATATATTTCTCTCATTATCGTCGCCAATCGCAAATGTTCCATTTGCACTCGAGTCAGTTTTCAGGGAACTGCTAACTGCTTTTAAATAAAATTCACGTTTGTAGTAGCCAAGTCCTAAAACATGACGTATCACATTACATGCCTAACTTGCTCTAAACAAATTATAAATTACCAAGATCAGCTAGATCTGTCTCAGCAATTGAATGCATGAGTATTACCCAGTTTTTCGCAGGAATTCATTCACTGCTCACTGGGTTATTCCCATTAGTTGCATCAGGTACTTTCTCTTCATGTGCGTAAACAGTTTATGGGAAATATCATGGACGTAAAACTGGAAATAAGCGCTAAGAACTCGGCTCAGACATGCTACTAGTTCGTCTGGGCCCAAACTAGTTTCCATGCCCTGCAGCAGTGTGGAGTGTAGATAAGAATATACATTGATGATTACTGCATGTAAATATTAATTTAGCGGATTTTGTTGCTCGCAGACTCAACATTATTATTATTTTTTTGGCTAAAAAAAACTGTAAAGATTACGATTATTGCTCATTGTTTTGTCTAGTGTAATTGACGACTCTTTCCGATTATACATTTTATGATCGAGTTTATTGTGTTTTTTAATTTATATCACATGCGTTTATATGTATTTGCCTAACGACAATGTGGGCATGTATTTGTTGGAGTGGCAGACCCGACAGAGACTCTATCACCACCGAGGTATTGTCGAAGTCGCCTGTTCGCTGGTCCCATCAGTATCAATTCCAATCGCGTGTTGTCGAGATGCAAACGCTGTCTGCTGCCCCCAAGATCGTGAAATCGCTTAAGAACCGCGATCCAAAACCGTAACGCCGCCAATCAGCGAACAATTGAATACTCGAATATTCGAAGTCAACAAAAATATATATATATACTCGTATATATAAAATAATAGGATCGGGCATTAACACACCGAAGCATATCAATTTCTATATAAAAATATAATTGGTAATTTGTGAAGATCTGGGGTGCTACGAAAAGATTACGATCCAATTGTATTGTTCGATCGATTGTCAGAGAAAAATAAACAAAAAAATATTCATTTTCACTTTGGTTGTAATTCATATTCATTTATGGATGCGCTACCAGTTTCAATTGATACAAGTGTGCAGTCATCACTTGCTCAATTTATCAAGCTGCAACTGGTTCAACTAATTTCTATAAATTGTCTTGGGAAATAGTTTTGTTTTGTTATTTATCAATTCACATTGTTGCTATCAAACGACACTGTATAAAAACCAAACTAAAATCAATTAATTTATGATTGTTTTTCAAATTGTAATAAAAAAGGGTGCCACAATCGATCGCAACGACATTCTAAGTGTGAGATACGAATGGATTAAACTCATCTATTATATACTTAACTGGATTCCACGAAAGTACAAAAAACACGATCTCAAAATGTCGAAACAAACAGAAGTGCCAAAGGAGTCGAAAAAGCAGCGCCAAACCAAGCTGCCAGATTTGGGTGACTTTCAGGTGCAGAAAAAAACAGGAGATGCAACGGCGGAGCCTGATAAAAAGTACAATTATTTTAATTTGGTAAGTGATCTAATCAATTACACGAACAACAATGCATTACCATTGAGACTGTAGAAGCCGTACAATGTTGCAAATGCAAATAATAATGAATAATGCATCGGAAATTATTCTCTTTCGGTGTCATAGAATAGTTTATTTTATTTAAATTAAAATTTTAGTCATTTTATGCCTATTTTATTTTATTATCACTACAATTGACAGCCGCCCTTTGTGTTTATTTTATTTGTGTTTATCTATATAAATATTTATATATTCAAATATTTGCATCCGATTTAGTAAGCAAGCAAATTCAGCTACTTTGTTAATTAAATTGTAATTTATTCAACAGTTTCGCTACTCAACTGTCGGAGAGCGCTTCCTGCTCGCCCTTAGCATGATTGTGGCAACCCTGGCATCTGTTTTCATACCATACTTCATATTGATCTATGGCGAATTCACATCCCTGCTCATTGATCGCAATGTGCGCGAGGGCACCTCGTCCCCAACTTTTATACTTGCTCTCTTTGGAGGCGGCAGGCGACTGTAAGTTGTGGCATAAACCTTAAGAATTATTGGGGAAGGGATAAGGATTTAGAACGTGTTTCGTGTACTTGTAGCACCAATCCCGGCGTGGAGGAGAACAGACAGGCAATCATAGATGATGCGGTTGCCTTTGGCATTGGCAGTTTGGTGGGTTCGGTGATAATGTTGATGCTGATTATAATTGCGATAGATGTTTCGAATCGTGTGGCCTTAAATCAAATCAATCGAATACGCAAGCTCTTTCTGGAGGCGATATTGCGCCAGGATATGTCCTGGTATGACACCACATCGGGCACCAATTTTGCCAGCAAAATGACTGAGTAAGTGGACAGCATCAAGCATCATAATTGCGTTGATCTTAAAGCTAATTCAATTGTCACTTGCTCTGCAGGGATCTGGATAAGGTAAAGGAGGGCATTGGCGAGAAGGTGTGTATATGAAGAGTAATCATTAAATTCTTATCTAATCCAATGCTCAACGTCTCTTCCTTGTCTAGGTGGCAATTGTGACTTTCCTCATCATGACCTTTGTGATGGGCATTGTTGCCTCGTTTATCTATGGCTGGAAGCTGACGCTAGTGGTGCTCACCTGCTGTCCCTTCATTGTATTATCCACAGCCATGGTGGCGAAAATTCAGAGCTCCCTTGCCGAAAAGGAGCTGAAGGCCTACTCGGATGCTGGCAGTGTCGCCGAAGAGGTCTTCAGCGGGATACGCACTGTGCTCGCTTTCAGTGGGGAGCGCAAGGAGAACGAGCGATTTGGCAAGCTGCTGGTGCCCGCTGAGGTAACCGGTCGCAAGAAGGGTCTCTATTCGGGCATCGGGGCTGGCGTTATGTGGCTGCTCATCTATGGCTGCATGGCCATTGCCATTTGGTATGGCGTCAATCTCATTCTCGATGAGCGCGATCAGGTGGACCGACATTATACGCCAGCGGTGCTGGTCATCGTTCTATTTGCCGTCATTATGGGCGCTCAGAATTTGGGCTTCTCGTCGCCGCATGTGGATTCCTTTGGCATTGCTGTGGGTGCTGCCCGCAATCTCTTTAGGATTATCGATCGCAAGTCTGAAATAGATCCAATGGTTGAGCACGGCCTCAAGCCGAATGGCATTGCAGGACGTCTACGCTTTGAGGACATACACTTTCGGTACCCCTCCCGTCCAGATGTTCAAATCCTAAATGGGTTGACAGTGGATGTGGAACCGGGTCAGACGGTGGCTTTTGTTGGCGCTTCTGGCTGTGGCAAGAGCACCGTTATCCAGCTAATGCAGCGCTTCTACGATCCAGAACAGGGCAGCGTCAAACTGGATGGCCACGATCTCAGAACATTGAATGTGGCCTGGCTGCGCGCCCAGATTGGCGTCGTTGGCCAGGAGCCGGTCCTGTTCGCGACCACAATCGGTGAGAACATACGCTTCGGCAATCCGCTGGCCACACAATCGGAGATTGAGCGTGCAGCCCGCAATGCCAATTGCCACGAGTTCATCAGCAAGCTGCCCAAAGGCTACGACACGAAGGTGGGTGAGCGTGGTGCCCAAATGTCTGGCGGTCAAAAGCAGCGCATTGCTATTGCCCGGGCGCTGGTGCGCAACCCGCAGATCCTGTTGCTGGATGAGGCAACATCGGCATTGGACCCCACCTCCGAGAAGCGTGTACAGGATGCATTGGAGCTTGCCAGCCAGGGGCCAACCACCCTGGTTGTTGCACATCGCCTATCGACTGTGACTAATGCCGACAAAATTGTGTTTGTTAAGGACGGCCGGGTGGCTGAGCAGGGCACACACGACGAGCTCATGGACAAGGGTGGTTTGTACTGTGAGCTGGTTAACATCACTCGTCGCAAGGAGGCCAGCGAGGGTGCGGACCTTGACGAAAAGGATTCAGCCAGCGGTATGGTTAAAGTGCCGCTGTCAAAACACAGGGAGGATGACATCCTCGATGATGACGATGATGGGGTTGACGACGACGACGACGAGGATGGAGATGAGGACATCGATGAAACTGTGGCGCCAACAAGCAACAGCAAGGAAGACGGCTTCAGTGTCAGTTCACGTAGTAAACGTAAGTTTTCCCAGAGTTTTTCACAGTGTTCCCTTTTGTGGCCAAGCTAATTCCTAAATTCCGCAGGTCGCTCGCAGCGTCGCAAGAAGAAGAAAAAGTTGGATGAGCCAAAAGTCAGCTTTATGCAGCTAATGAAACTGAATGCACCCGAATGGCGCTACATGTTGTGGGGCTGTGTGGCTGCTGCCATGCACGGCACCACATTTCCACTGTGGGGTCTCTTCTTTGGCGACTTCTTCGGCATCCTGGGCTACGCAGATGAGGATCTGGTGCGCAAAAGGGGCAACGATATCTCCTTCATATTCCTTGGCATCGGCGTAATGGCCGGCGTGGGCACAATGCTGCAGAGCTACATGTTTACAACGGCGGGCGTTAAAATGACTACCCGCCTCAGGAAGACCGCCTTCAAGACGATTATGTCGCAGGAGGTGGCCTTCTTTGATGATGAACGCAATTCGGTGGGTGCACTGTGCGCCCGACTTGCCGGCGACTGTTCCAATGTCCAGGGGGTGAGTTCAAGAGCCTCTCACAGGCAATTTTATACACTACAAAAAACTAAACGTTTTTTTCACATTTATTCTTTGCAAACTTAAATCTATTAAGAATTCAACATGAAATTTTGAAAAGAAATGAGTTCATCTAACATATTTGAATCCAATTTAAGTTAAACACGTATTCTTGATCAGCATTTGAGTTTCCAAATCATATTGTTTGCCATATAAAAAGAATAATCCCTTTTTTTCTCGCTGAATTAAAATCGAATTCTGTTCGTTCCACAGGCAACTGGTGCACGTGTTGGCATCATGCTGCAAGCTGTTGTTACCCTGGCCGTTGGCATGATAATTGGCTTCATCTACTCCTGGCAGCAGACGCTTTTGACCCTTGTCACGCTGCCCTTCCTCTGCTTGTCTGTGTATCTCGAGGGTCGCTTCATAGCGAAGAATGTGCAATGGGCCAAGATGGCCATCGAGGAGGCCTCCCAGGTGGCTGTTGAGGCCATTGCAAATATACGCACTGTCAACGGCTTGGGACTGGAGCAAATGGTGCTGGAGCGCTACATCAGCCAGATTGATCAGGTGGATATCGCTTCGCGCAGAAAGGTGCGTTTCCGTGGCTTGGTCTTTGCATTGGGGCAAGCGGCGCCGTTTCTGGCTTATGGAGTGAGTCTTTACTATGGTGGCCTGTTGTTCGCCGATGGTCTGCTGCCGTATGAGGATATCATCAAGGTGGCCGAGGCACTGATCTTTGGCTCCTGGATGCTGGGTCAGGCACTGGCCTACGCTCCAAATGTGAACGATGCCATTATTTCTGCCGGACGGCTGATGAAGCTGTTCGAGCAGGTACCCAAACAGTCCAATCCGCCACTCAATCCCTACAACACGGCCGAGGTGAGCTGACAATTGCAAATGCACTCAAAGTCAATGGTTAAATACCAAGTCTTAACTCTTTCAGAAATCCGAAGGTGATATTGTGTATGAGAATGTTTGCTTTGAGTATCCCACGCGCAAGGATACCCCGATATTGCACAGCTTGAATCTCTGCATTAAGAAGAACACCACGGTGGCTCTGGTGGGCCCCTCCGGTTCCGGCAAATCCACTTGCATACAGCTGCTGTTGCGCTACTATGATCCCGTCTCGGGCTCCGTGAATTTGAGTGGTGTGCCCAGCACAGACTTTCCGCTGGACACGCTGCGCTCCAAGCTCGGCCTCGTCTCGCAGGAGCCGGTGCTGTTCGATCGGACGATTGCCGAGAATATTGCCTATGGCAACAATTTCCGCGACGATGTGCCCATGCAGGAGATTATCGAGGCGGCCAAAAAAGCCAACATACACAATTTCATTAGCTCCCTGCCCCAGGGCTATGAGACACGGCTGGGCAAGACATCACAGTTGTCCGGTGGCCAGAAACAGCGCGTTGCCATTGCTCGGGCATTGGTGCGCAATCCAAAGATATTGATTTTAGACGAGGCGACATCCGCGTTGGATCTGGAGAGCGAGAAGGTGGTGCAGCAGGCACTCGACGAGGCACGCGCCGGACGCACTTGCGTCACAATTGCACATCGATTGAGCACCGTGCGTGATGCGGATCTGATTTGTGTACTCAAGAAGGGCATCGTTGTGGAGCAGGGCACCCACGATCATCTAATGGGACTCAACGGCATCTATGCTAATCTCTATATGATGCAGCAGGTGGCTGGTTAGAAGAAAAACCCACTCCACTTCGTTTGTTTCTTTACTATTGATTATTAGTCCTAACACATCAATTGTTGTTTTATTAAAGCTCTAAGCAATATTGTTACATAACTATAGCCGACTGTCCACCATGGGCCCGGGATTGGCGAGAGCATTTCGTCGCTCCTGTATTGCAAAGGTGAGCTTACGGAAGGGTCCCAGCGGCAGACCCAACGATTTAAGATCCGCCTCCGTTAGCAGCATGAGCGTCTCCAAATCAATTTCCTGTTTCTGAAAACTACAGAACATTTACTGTTAGCTTCATTTTTTAACATTAGTAAAAGGGGCATAATATTAAATAGTAAAGTTTGATGGAGACAATTTCTGAGACAAGCTGAGAACTTTTAGACTATTAGAACTGGTCACAGTATCTGCTAGTCGTGTTATAGTAAGGTCTAGTTAAATAACTCACACTGGCAGATACTCATCCAGTGCCCAGACGGTGAGAAAACGCTGCAAGGCACTGGCTGCTCCCTCCTGATCGTCCTCATCCTCGCTGTAGACATCATCACCCTCGGCTTCCGAGTCTGAGTCATCGGATAGATTCAAATACAAGCGCGCCTTTCCATTGCTAGAGCGTGATTTGTTGCTGTTGTTGTTATTGTTATTGTTGTGGCTGCTGCTGGTGCTGCCCGCGTTTCGCATGGTCGAGCTGGATATGCTGTCGACGGTGTCCTGTGCCTGCAGCTGTAGCTGGCTGAGCGCCGCCGTCACTGAGCGCCTGAAGGCAATGCTGCCCAGCATGGTGGGACGATCGAAGAGGCCGATTGGTCGCTGCAGCACCAGTTCCTCGCTTAGTTCCTGCGCCAGCTGCCCATCACCCAGAATATCCGGCTGGGAGAAGGAGCGTGCCAGCGCCGTGCTGTAACCGGATCTGCACGCATCGCGCTCGGCGCCATCGTCCACTTCGAATACGTCAGCGATCTTGCCACGCTTGCCACTGCCATCCTCGTTGGAACTAAAGGTGCCCACATAGAGCACCTCCGAGTCACGTTGCAATCCCGTCAGTGATGTAATCGTACGCTTGCCATCGGGCTCCAATTCACGCACCTTGAAGCCGCCATCGGCGGCTGTTGCATGTGGACAGGCACTTGAGTGCTGTGATTTAGCCTGCTGCTGTTGTTGCTGCTTCTTTTGCACGGTGCCCATGCGACTGGCAATGGTGGAGCCGCCACTGCTGCTGCTGCCGCTGCCCACCAGATCACTGAACTTGGCGCCGCTACGCAACGGCTGGGGAGGCACAGGCACAGCCGGCTGCTCGCGCGGCGTCTTGTTCAGATTGCCCTGACTGGACCAAATCTTCTGCTTCAGTGTGGACAGCATATTGCTAGACTTGCTGCTGCTGCCGCCCAAGCCCTGACCACTGCTCGGCTTAAGATCGGAGTAATCGTTGAACTGACGTTGCTGCTGCTGCCGCTTCATGTATTCCTTAACGCGCTTCTCGCACTCCTTTTCAGCGATCTCTTTCAGTGCCTTGGACTTCTTTCTGTAAAATAAAATCGATTATGTCTCACTTATTTAATATCTTTGAAAGGTGTGTTTTGTTTGCGATACTAAAACTCCAGCTTCAATTTCAAATTGATAAATTAAGCTTACTTTTCGTTAGCTTCAAAATTGGCCGCGGCTGCATCCAAATAACGTAGAATCTCATCCCGATTATTGATAGCTGCCAGATCCTTGGCATTGTGTCTATCAATATCCAAGGCGTACATGTTCACGCCGAATTTGATTAGGAAATCAACGCAATGCAAATGCCCTTTAGCAGCGGCCAGATGAAGCGTTGTATTGCCAAATTGATCACACTTGTCGGGATCACCGCTGCAAAGCAGAAATTCAATACATATTTATACTTGGCTCATGTGTCATTTCCATACCCTCTGCCACAGAGTAAACGCAGTGCATCCAGACGGCCCTCGAATGCCGCCCACATCACCGGTGTCATTGAGTCATCGTCCTTGGCATTGGCATCCTTGCGTGTGGCCTCCTTCAGCACATCGAGCAGCCCATCTTTAGCTGCTCTGTTGGTTACAAATACAAATCAAAAACAGTCAATGATAATTGTGGCGGGTGGAATAGATAAGATACGTGTGGCATTATTAATTGCATGTAGCTCGTAGCTTCAAAACTCACTTGTGAAATCGATCTGAAGACATTTCCACTGCTTTTATCTGCTGGTTATTTCCATAGACTGCAAACTATGATGAGCAATAGAAATATAGCTAAAAATTCGGGTAAAAGACGAACGCGACTTGAAATTGTTATTGAAGTCAAAACAAAGCAACCCTTTTGAATGCCGTTCTACTTTCACATTTCTCATACTGCCGGATAAAAATAATTACTTCAAATATGCATATGTCAATTAAACTTAACCATAAAAGTAAAAAGCTTAGAGCTTCCAGTCTGGATTTAAAGGCTGATGATAGTAGAAGTTTTGAAATCCCAATACATACACACATTTCAAGCATTCTAGTTAGAAAAGTAAGTATTTTAAAGATTATTCAACTGACACATGTAGAAAATCTTAGCTGTATAGATTTTCTAAGATATTTACAATAACCAATGAGCATATTGACCAGCAAACTGCAACCCACATTTGAGCAGGCCAGTGAAATGCTTTCGCTAATCCCTGAAAAATACATTTGCATCGAAGAGAATCCATTCTACGAGCACTACGAACCGACCGACATGTATCTCTGGAAAAAGAAAGCGGAAACGGGCCAAGTCACATTTGAAAAGGAGTTTTTTTTAACTCAGCCCAAATTGAATCGTCTGCAAGAAGAATCAAGGTCAAACTGTATGAAATGGCTGGAATGCCTCTCAACGGATGAAATTGATGATGAAATCAGTTGGGTAGCATTCAAGAAGAGCGATACAATCACATTGAAGTCCATGTACAATATGAGCCAACTAGTAAGTGAATGCGTTCAGATCGAATGGGATATTTACGATTTCTCTGGGTGCAAGACTAACACTAATTGGATTCCATTTCAAAACATTTGCTCTATCAAGCAAATGTCTGCAATGGCAGAAGCAATGTATATGTGAAAAATCGAGCATTAAGAGGAATTTGTTTAAAGTTAAGCTCAAATATTCACACGCTAAAATATACAAAAAAAAAAATTACAAATACAAATATGACACTTTCAGTGAAGTGAAAAGGAAAAGCTTCAGCCGCATACGTTCCGGTTAGAGTTCATGCACACGACAAGCATACACACAACAAACAAACTGTACACACACAATTGGTCACATCAACTTGGCCAAAAGAAATTACTTGCATATGTATTTACAATGTTGTCCACATACCCACCAGCAACAAGTTCAGTCAACCTTGTTTTGTTGGCTTCGAATTGCCCAAAAGCCCAACTAGTATTAGGTTCGTATGGAGGCCCTCGAGCATTCACTGTAAATCCCAAGGCTTACTAAAATATCTTCTCTGTTTTTTTTGGCAAACTTCACACACGAAAAGGTTTTTCAACAATTTGACACTTTTCGTTTCTAAATACGAACACAAGCAAACAATAACAGAAGTTGAAGTTCTGCTTGCTGCGATCCGTAGAATACACAAGCGTAGGCACTTTCTGTTGCGGCAATTGTTAGCTGGTAACTGAAACTGAAGTCGGCTTGAAATCTAGAGCGAGCGAGCGGGAATGGCCAAAAGAGAGCGCGCAATTATTGTGAGGGTTGCCAAGTTGTATGGGAGCTAAGCCACAGATTCTATGCCTTCTATTCAAAAAGTCACAATGCCTTCTTATTGATAAATAATTTCTTTTAAATTGTGTTTTATCTTGCCAAATAAATAATACAACTTGTTTACCAAATTTGTTTTTATTTATCGAAAAAACCAAACAGTTTGCAACATAGCAACTCCCTGCGATTAATTTGTTGCGCACAACCAACCCTGTTTTTATTGAAAACTTATCGATACATAATTGCGATAGTTATTTTAGGGCCAGAAATTCTGCAGAAAAGCAGCCTCGTGAAACACAAACGAATAAATATAAATAAATAAATGAAGACTAATTATGATACATAACTAACGCAGTGCAGTGCATAACAATAGAAAAAGATGTGAAATCCACCAAGTTGACGAATTTACGCACACAAGCTTTGTGGTGGTTGGTTGACTACTACAATTGCATATGTATGTATACACACACAAAAACATACACATGAGCTTGCGTAGGAGGCATCAAAATAACAACAGCAGCAATAGCAGCAGCAGTCACAGCAACAAGGAAGAAGTCGTCGCCAACATATGTTCGATGCATCAATGGTGCGTCAGTAGTAACGTTCCATGGAAATTCCAGTGCCAATGCCAAGCAGTCAAAGCAAGCTAACGCTAGCTAAGTGATTATCAATATCATTCAATAGCCTTCACCTTCACCTCCTCCTCTTCCTTCCTCCATTAAGAAACATAGCCATAGCCCATAGCAGCCAGTTGCCAGTTGCCAGTAGCCAGTAGCCACAATTCACTGGCAACACAATACACAACCAATACCAATATCGATACCGATACCTCTCACTGTCAGTCAGACAGTTAAAAAAAAACAAGTGTCAACTACACCTACACACACCATTACACCAATACACTAACACACACGAACTGAAACAAACAGTAGCAGGCAGGAAAATATTGTGAACGCCAAGTGCCCGCTGGAGAGCGCGCAGCGCACTATGGGCAATTGCCTGAAATGCTTCCAGTCGTCGTCTGCCGCACCAACGTTGCCAACCAGCTGCTCGTCCACACCAAACGCATTGCATACAAACGCTAACAGCTGCCAAGCGGCCACCAGCATTGGCAACTGCTACGACATCGTTGGGCCCAATGCAAATGAACGTTGCGGCATTTACAACGACAGGCCACGCGGTAAGCTTGATGGGGGTCACTCTCTCTCGTGTCTTCATTTAATGTTGTCTTGCAGAAACGGATGAATTGCTCTCTAATCGAACTCCACTCAAGCCAGCAAATAATTGTGATACTAAGCGTAATAGTTTTAAGTCCTTAGGCTTGCTTAATGGAAGTGCGCCGACCATGAGCGAAATTATAACAACTGGTATGTAAAATAAAACAAAACAAGGTAATCTTATCTTCTATTCTATTTGATTCCTTTCACGTTTAATTGCAGCAGTCAAGGAATCAATGGAAGTGTCACATCAAACGCTAAACAAATTATTCGAAGTGTACAAAGATCCAGATGATGAAGATATGATACTCACTGATGGCATTGAGCGCCTGTGCAATGATCTTAACTATCAGCCCGATGAATTTGCAATACTTGTGCTTGCCTGGTGCTTGGACGCTTCACAGATGTGCCGCTTTACCAAAACGGAATTTATTGATGGTCTGCACAAGATGCGAGCGGACACAATTGCCAGCATACGCTTAAGGCTTGAGCAAACAATTGAAATGCTTGTGGTTGACTCTGAGATGTTTAAGCAGCTCTATCGTTTTACCTTTCGGTATGCTGGGCAAATGGTATATTTACAATTTTATTATTTACGAATTATGTTTGTTTTCCAGTTTTGGCTTGGAGCCGGATCAGCGCGTTTTGTCGTTGGAAATGGCAATCGATTTGTGGAAACTTGTGTTCACTGTACAAAGACCTGATCTCTTTTCAAACTGGGTAAACTTCCTCGAAAAGCATCCGAACATACGCCGCATACCCAAGGATACATGGAACATGTACCTCAATTTTACTGAACAATGTGATATAGAAAATTACGATGATACCGAAGCGTGGCCAAGTCTCTTTGATGACTTTGTCGAATACGAAAAGAATCGTGCGCTCGAAGTGGCCGTCCACGATGATGACAACAACAATGACGATCCATTACATAGCCATGTGAAGGCCGGCGGCGATACGGACCATGTGTCATAGTTTTAGATGCAGCCACTAGCCAAACCCACACACATAACAGTTGAAGGGCCAAGCAGCAACAGCGTTTAACTCGCCAATAGAAACTTAAAGCTCTTCATTTTCAACACAATATTTATTTGCGCGCTCTCTTTCTATATTCAACTATCAATCTATCTTGCTTAAATTTTTCTTTTTTTGTTTACTTGCAAACAACACAAAAAATGAAAAGAGAACACACAAACACACACCTCTGTAGTCGGTTCTGGCCAATGGTCAAAGATCTATGATGCGGTGCTGGCGCTGCTTGATGATTCACAACTACCACGAACAACAATAACAAATGCACACAGCCAGTCAGCCAGCTAGATGATTATTTACAACCTTTGCAAACATTTAACGCGTAGCAGAGAAAAAGGGCAACGGACGCATTTGTTTTTAAATTAAAGACTTATCAACAAGAATTTCGAAAAGCTCAATCATAGGAAACCACATGTGTATATATGTACTAAATGACTTGATCAAGTAGAAGAGCAAACATGTTTTCAATGCGTGCAAAAATCGTAAAATATATATACATATATATATATATATGGATAGATATATATATATATACATACATATAGCAATTAACTGATGTATTATTTTAAAAATGAAAAGATTGCAACGTTTTATGGCACTTAACTATTTAATTGCATATAATTACATACGTAGCTATAAGTAGTGGATGTGAATTAAATAAACATAAACTAAACTAATGCGAGTATATTATAAAATGTTTGATTTCTTCAGGTTTTTCAGATTACATTTATATTGTATTTATTATTTTATGTTCTCGTACTTAATATTGTAATAGCAATCCCCTTGGAATTTTTCCTGTATCAATTTAAAATTTAACACACGTATTATTGATGTTGATAAATACCATGAAATTTTTATTAATAATTATAATTAAGAGCTCAATGAGAGAGAATTGTGAATTGATTGATTGAACTAATATTTATATACAAATATTTTTGTTTTGATGCTAGAAAGAGAACAAGCATGATGAATTTTAATAAAATGAAATAACAATATTGTTTACATAAATGTGTATTAAAAATGTTTGTTCTTTTAAATATTTAATTTGCTGCCAATAGCAGCAGCCTAGCAAATATGTAAATATTTATGTATGTATTTGAACGGTTTTTTTTTCTTGCAGTCTCCTATTACTCATAGTCGATAGTTCAATCGATATTTTGTTGTGTTGCCTATCGTCTTTGTTAGTGATGTGCTGAAATGTATGTACGAACATATATACACTTTGCGTATTGATAAAATTTTGTAAAATCTACTTGCTTATAAGTTTTGGGGCCCCGATGAGTAAGTAGCGGTGTAAAACGATTATCTCAGAGTGTTAAGCGAAGAGTCGGCCCACAGCATATTGACGAAAATCGCGCATGTTGTGAAATTGATTTGCGATTTGACATTGAAAACACAAATGCAATGGTGTGGTGGGCGTAAGGCAAAGGGCAAGGATAAGCAGCAGCAGCAGCAGTAGCAGCAGAGGAAAACGGAAACGGTCGATCGAAAGGACACCAAACAGACAGCATGCCTTGTGAAAGCTGTGGCGTTGAATTCACGGTATTTCGCCGTAAGCGTAGCTGCTTTGACTGCAGGTAACACATATTCCATGAAAATTGTACGCATTCATTCGAAATTTGCCATTGTTTTCAGGCGATATTATTGCAACAACTGTTTGACAGTGACGACGGCGCGTCGCTGCCAACGCTGTGCAATATTTGCACAACGGCCGCTCCAACGCACGGATTTATTGAAACTGAAGCCAAAAGATTTAATATTCTATTTGCAATCCAAACACATTTCCACAGAGGGCTGCCTGGGTGAGTCATTATTAAGATGATAAAATGCATGTTCAGATAAGCTCATACATCGCACATTTTGTATTGCAGAAAAGGAGGAGCTGGTCGGTCTGGTGCTGACGCATGTTGCACAGTCGGATCGCGATGCGATGGGTCGACCGCCGAATAATAGTCCTGGACGTGGCCAAGCCAATCCAATGGATAGTCTGAAGCAAACGTGCCAAAATTTTTTCACCAATTTGAGTGATAATATCAGTGATTCCCTGGCGTCCTTCGACAACAAGTCCAGCTCCGAAAATAGTCGTGAGACCAGCCGCCATGCATCCCATGACAATGGCGGCCCAACGCCGCCCTCTCACATATTTGAGCAGCCGCGCGTATCCACGCGGGAGATACCCACATACGCCAGTGCTGTCAATGGAACGACGGCGACACCAACACGAACACCGACTGTGGCCAGAGGCAACTCCACGGAGGCGGCGCACGTGCATGTCAGTCCATCGACTTCATCGACGCGTACAACAACATCGCCCACAGCGACACAGGATCGCAGATCCGCTGTGGAAGCTGTTCGGTTATCGTCTAATGATGATGATCCTGACAATTCCGAATGCGAGTGCTCGGATGAGGAGATAATCAACACATTTAGTGAACGCACATCGCTCAAAAACACGGAGAACAGTGCTGGACAGTCCAGCCTCATCAGGCCAACCCTGGATGCAAGCTCAGCGGGTCTGGGCTCGGCGACGACAACAACAACAACTGCAGCAACTGCAAATAGCACCAGTCCAGGCTACTCGAAGCAGGGTTCGCTTAGCTCCAAAGTGGACGCTTGCGGTGCAGACGCCTCCTCGCAGTCCAGTTTCGAAGAGCTGGGCGCTATTGGCGGCATCTCTGATGAGAGCAAAGGGGCAACCGATACCAACAGCAGCAACTTGGATCAGTGGCAATTGCTGGAACAAACAGCACCAAGTGGTAGTCAAAAACAGTTGCAGGCAACGCCAACGCAGTCGGGAAATACCGAAGAGGAGATCTTAGAAGTGACGCTGCAAAATGAGCCCGGTGAGATGCCAAACATTGAGCAGCGCACAGTCACCGTGCCGCCGCGAACCAAGAAGGTAACGCGACGACGCTCCGACGGTTACCTGAATCGTCGTCACCATTCCAGCGATGATGAATCACCTGTGGCTGCCAGCGGCTTGGCCCTGAGCACTCTACGTGAACAACCCGAGCCGGAAACTATGCGCGCCAGCTGTCACCGCTGTGGCAAAAACAAAACAAATATACGGCGACATGTGGAGAAGATGCGACGCCACTTGGAGAACTCGCAAATGTCCGAGGAGGACATCAAGCGAGAACTGCAAGAGTTTCTCACCTACCTGGAGCAGCGCACCAAATCCTTGGATTGCTCCGAGGCAGACAGCCATGCCGTCTCGCCGCTGAGCGGTGCCGAGACAGGCAGTTTGGCAGCCGGGGGTGCTGCTGGTCTGCCCATAACACCGACCATTGAGTTCTCGCCCACGCAGGATGACAATGAGACACGTTGGGACGATGACGAGGGCATCCATGTGTATGCCTCGCCATTGGGCTTTGAGCCGCCCAACTGCTTGGATTCACGCTTCTTAAACCTGGAAGACATTGAGGACCTGTAAGTGAAATACTAAATAATTCCAGAGGGTATTGTGATATTGACAATGCATTGATAGAATCATCATTGACTCTTTTTTTATATATTCCTTTTTTTACTTTGTGCACCCACAGAAAAGACTTGGAGAACTTAACGGTGAAACAGTTAAAAGAAGTTTTAATGTTGCACCGTGTTGACTACAAAGGCTGCTGTGAGAAACAGGAGCTGCTCGATCGCGTGAGCAGATTATGGAAAACAATGCGCACAGCGCCTGGTATGTCCATCAATCTAATCCAAATGTATCACACTCAATATTTGTAACTGTTGCAGCTGTTGAGAAACTTGCCACGGATGAGCTGTGTAAAATATGCATGGATGCGCCAATTGAGTGCGTATTTCTGGAATGCGGCCACATGGCCACGTGCACCAATTGTGGAAAGGTGCTAAACGAGTGCCCGATTTGTCGACAATATATTGTACGAGTTGTAAGATTCTTTAGGGCGTAATTATAAATGGCAGCCCATAGCTTTGCTTATATGTTTTAAGTATATACACTATAACGTTTAATGGATCCTGGTAGGATTGGCCACGAGCAATAACTGCAGGTCAAGTGATTGCTGCTCTGTACACGTACATAATGACAGTATGTACAACTACATGCACAGAATGTACAAATATTTAAACCTTCGTTAATGGGGCAACATTATGTATATTGAATGCTCAATAATTGCAGGTAAATCATTATTGTTTCCTTATAGCTCTATGAAGGCCATTACAATTGTTTTAAGTATTCTCCAAGTATGTTGTAAATGGGAAAAATACAACTTCTAAAGTGTGTATTAAATGCGGCTTATTTAATTTGTGAGTTAGTTTGGTATTACTATTTTTTACCATTTCCTTGTTGCTTATGTGTGTATGTGGACCGAGTAGTAATCTTAGCTAAGATAACATTCCTAAAAATTGTAAATTATGGAATCTAATATATAACACTGTTGTAAAAACTCGTATAGATACGCATTTACATCAATAAAGTCAAACATTTTAATTTGAGCAAGTCAGCTTTTTTCATTTTGAATTTGCCGCTATTGTCATAAACAAATCGTTAATCGATTGCCTATCGTCTGTACAGCACTATTTGATTTCGATACCTTTGCAGCACTGACTTTTCAAATGTAAATGTAAATTACAAATGTCAGCCGTTTTTAATCTTTCACATATGCGTTGGCAAAGAAAATAATGGCTAAATGTCAATCTTCCTAAAATTGCAAATAAACATGTTGCGCATATATAAATATATTTCGATTTGAAATACAAATATTTCAATTAGTCACCGGATTTACGTAATAATTTTTTTTAAAGACAGTCTTTTATTGCAAACTAAAGGATAATTATTTAACATTAATGACAAGAGCTAGAGATTAGCCTGATGACTAGAGTGGATTGCCAGGGCAGATGTGACAAGGCATTCAACTTCTGTGCACACGCAAATCCAGAGGCGTGGGCGAGTCCATTTCCATTTCCATGGAATAGTCCTCGGTGTGTAGCTGGTAGCGATAGCCATGCTCCTGCGTGTTCAGCCAGTAATCCGAGGAAGTATATTCGCTATCGTGCTTGCATCTCAGCGAATAATCACTTGCCACATTATCGCTGTCGGTGTAGCTGTAGTAGGGTGTAACAGTAGGCGATGACTCGCCGATTGCTTGCATTGGTGCAATTACGGGTGCGGGGTGCAGGGGCAGGGGGAGGCAGGTGTAGGTTGTACCACTGGCATCCAGCAGACAGTTGGCGGAACTCTGGCTGGCAATCAGCTGTATACTGTGCTTAAACGTTTTCACATGCTTGCGCAGCGATGAGGGATCTGTGTAGCGCTTCTGACAGCCGGACACCTTGCACATATACGGTTTTTCCATTGAATGGGTGCGCGTGTGCTTGAACCGATCCGACGAGTTAGAGTAGGCCTTTTGACAGCCCTCGTAGTGGCACTTGTAGGGTTTCTCACCCGAATGCGAGCGTATGTGTATCTTAAGATTTTCGGCACGCGAGAAGGACTTCTCGCAGAGGTGGCAACGATGCGGCTTCTCCTTGGTGTGGGTGCGCACATGCACCAGCATCTTGTAGCGTGCATTGAAGCCACGCTCGCTGCGCTGACAGCCGCCCCAGCGGCAGTAATACAGTCCATCCACCATCGAGGCAATCGCATGACGCAGAGTGACATGTTGGGCGAGTGCCTCCAAAGATTCGAAAACTCTGCAAGCCAAAAGAGATAACTAATTAGTACATTTTGTGCCAAGTTAATACTGAGTGGCGTATTTCTCACCTTCCGCAATCCTGCCAATTGCAGATAAAATCACATTCACTGCTGCTGCTGCTGCTGTGCTCGCTGCCGGATTCTGTCGGCGAACCGGAAGCGGAAATTGTGCTCTTGTTGCACCTCATGATGACGGACTGTGTGCGTGTATTTAAGTTGGACTCCAGATGGGGGAGGGGAGCAGCGGTGCGCGGTGGTGTTATGGGCGGTGTGGGAAATCTGAGGTACTGCATCTGCGGCAAATGTTGCTGCTGCTGCTGCTGATGAAGATCGCCCAGCCAGGTGCCCGATCCGACCGGTGCTATATACGGCGGCGTATTGTACGGCGTATAATAGCTACTCGTCGCCGACTCGTAGAACTCACTGGAACTGCTGGGACAGAAGATGGGTTTTTGTACTAATATATCCATTATTTGGGTATTTCTGAGCTAAAGTTGCTGCTTTGCTGTTGCGTTCGCCAGTGCGATTACCAAACGAATGAGCTATTCGCCTGCAGACATTCGTGTAATATTTGAAAGTTAATTCGCGATAAGAAGACGCTTATCAGCGCCCGAAGGCTGTGCACGCAGACAGGCAGCAGGGACGGGGCGCTGAGCGTGAGCGGACAGAGACGGACACTCAGCAGAGAGTCGAGCAGAGCAGTGCTAATCGGACATCCGCGCCAAAAACAAAACAAACAAAAAACCAACATCAATTGACCAAGTTAGTTGTGTGTACTTAACAGTAAAAACGAAAAACAAGAAGAGATGAGGAGTGGGTGCGGGTGGGAGAAGTGCTCAGCAGGCACATACGTGAGCGTAGAAGCATCGTCTGCCTGCGCGTAAACATTTGAGGGCGAGCTGCCTTATCAGCGGAACACACAACTGGAAAATCGGTCTAGCCACCCCACATGTAGTCATGTGTGTGGGCAATGATCAGCAATAGCAGCAACAGCAGCAGAAGCAGAAGCAGCTCATCAGCCGTAAACAGCGCTTATGGGGGGGCGATCGTGATACCCGGTCGCGCTATCGCACGGATTGCACTTCGTACTCTGGGCTGGCAGGCAGGCATAGCACAGCACAGCACAGCACAGCAGAGCAGAGCAGAGAGCACAGAGGGGGGCAATGTGAAATCCCCTCCAGCTGTGACCGTGTTACGCGGCCACAGATAAAGCGAGACTGTTATCGACTGGAGACGCGCCAAGTCAACACAATGTTCGTAACAACATTTTTCTACTCTTTTTTTTGTTGTCGTTTCTGTTTCCCCTCGAAGAGTTTTTTGCGACGATGACGCTGACATTTATTTATTTTTTTTTGGCAGCAACATTGCTCCAAGCTTATCATCAATGGGGCAACTCTCTGCAAAACGTCTCCGTCAGTGTTTACTTTATAAGCTTGTAGCTGAAGGCCAAAGCGGGCGCAGAGGTTGGGGTTTGGGGGGCTGTGTAAAGCAATGGTATCTCTACGCTGTGCTGTGCTCTGCTGGGTGGTTAACTTATCAGTTAGAGCTGGCACAGTCTGGCCATATATTATTGATAGGAAGTGATTCACATGCAATATGCTTCAACAGTCCGTGGTGTGCTACGCTTCGCTCTTACATAAATGCCGGGCGGCACACTCGGAAATATGACGATTAGAGTAGCTCCCATGGACAATCAATGTCACTCGATTGCAGCAGGTGCAGCACAGTTCCAGCTTGTAATCGAATTGCGCAAAATCGAGGCAACAGAAAGTCATGTTTTATTTATAAATCAGCCCACTGATAGTGGGCCCAATCGTTGTCCCTTAGGGCAATTGAACCTTAGACTCGTATTACCAACCGCAAAGTACAGTTTCGCTCAATCAATATAATAATAATAAAATAATAGAATACCCAGACAAAAAAACACTGCAGTTAATGCCTAGACTGCAATAATAGATTAAAATAGCCCAGGAATTCCTACATTTTGGTAATTTATAATTATTGATACGGTTCTCAAATAAATCTCATTATATAAAAGTTCTCAAATCACGAAATCTATAAAGAATAGCAAAGTATGTGAGCAAATCAAATTTCCTTCTTAATACACAAGAAATAAGAACCTTAATGATTTTGTATTCCTAAAATGTACCCCTGACCCAAATTTATTGCTCAACATGCGCTGTATTCCATCACATAAAAAACTAAATAATAATATATAATATAACAAAATCCGGTTTTTCCGGGAATTCTGATCTTTGAATGCGGCGATCAGCTGCTGATAAGCCCCTAGTATTACAGGCGTATACAAAAAATAATTAGCTCATCATATATATATATATACAGCCAGACAGAGAGACTGTTGTCCCCAAAACAGCATCGGCCCATCCCCTAGAGTCAAATTCGCCTGAGATAAGCAGCAACAGAAGTCTCTTAGAGGTGAACGCGTGCGCTGCAAAAGGTTTTTTCAAATTTTCCGTAGTAAATTCTAATTAAAGAAAGAAAAAAAAACAAAACAAAACAAAAACAATCCCCAGCAAGTGCGCCATAATAAATACTTGAAACTTGCGACTGCTAATACACACAGTAACCGGCTCGAGCCGGTTGTACTGTCATTTAATGATGTATAATATTTCTAGGGAATTATAACAACATATTTGAACTGATAAGCAGAACTAGGGGTCTGGCTGGCTGGCTGGATTGCTGGCAAAGGTGCGAACCGGGCGCGATAAGGCGCAGACAACATTGGGGCGTGCACTCAAACTGGGTCTCGGGTTCGGTTACGGATTCGGGTTAGGCTTGGGCTTTATCAGAGCGTACTGGTTGGGAGAGCGAGGCGGCTCAGATCAAGCAAAAAACTTGGCAAGTCTTCGGTTCGGTTATCTGGCTGAGAACGAGACGCATCGCATCCATTGCTGATATGTGAGTGCTTTGTTCCCTGCCCTTCCCTGCCCCGCCCTGCTCTGCCTGCAATGGCTAATTGCTGAATCGCTAGCGACAACAATGGCAATCTATCGCCTGCTCAACGCCTGAGCAGACGTCCAAAGTCCAAGCATACGCAAAACAGAGCAACGCATCACAAACAACCATAATATCAACTATCACAAAAAAAATAAACAAAAAAAACAACATAAAAAATGACCTTTATGCAGCTAACTCGTGTGTCTGCAATATTTGGCTAGACCCCTGTTGTTATCGCATCCCGCACATCAGCAGACAACATGAGTTGGCCGAAATTGAAATCAAAAAATGTGCAGGAGACTCAGAAATAAACCTTTAGGCTAGCTGCTAGGTGCTACATTAATATAATATAGTTAAAGGCTGATATTACAATATCTCGTCTAGACAGCGTATTTTTAGATGCCAAACGTATTGTTATAAATTACTTACCAAAAGTTTCCATAACATTGATGAGTTTGGGAAACAATGGGTAGCCATATACTAAATGCTTTGCAAAATTGCAGCTTAATTTAAAAGAGAGGTATACAAAATGAAAAAGCTCTTTTTATAAACATACGATGGAATTAGGCAGCATTTAAAATATAATTTCTTAGAAAATATGGTATTAAAACGGATGGCTCTCGAGAAGATAGAAAGAATAAGAACGATTTTAAGTTCAATCCAATAGAATACGAGTTGTTGACTCTAAAGATTTGCAATTTACAATATCCAAAATTGTATTCGTAAATCTGTTCAAAATATCGAATGGATTTTGAAAACAGCCAATTGTTCCAAGTGCAATGAAAAAATAAAATAATAATAAAATGTTGCCTAGGGCTCTGTTGTTATCGCATCCCACACATCAGCAGACAACATGAGTTGGCCGAAATTGAAATCAAATATCCAGGAGACTCAGAAGTAGACCTTCGGACTAGGTGCTAAATTAATATAGCCAAAGGCTGATATTCCTGACAATATCTCGTCTAGACAGCGTATTTTTAGAAACCAAACGTGTGTGAATTTTATTGCTATGAATTGCTTACCAAAAGTTTCCATAACTTGGATGAGTTTCTGAAACAATGGGTAGTTACACACTAAATGCATTGCAAAATTGCAACTTAATTTTAAAGATAGGTGTACAAAATTATATAAGTGATTAGCAATTAAAATTGAATTTTTTAGATACGTTTTTGAAAATATGGGATTATAACGGCTGGCTCTAGAACAATCACTTTCCAAGTTCCATGCTAAAAAATTGTTACAGTACAATATGAGACCATATAGACTAAAAGTTGTTGACTTTAAAGATTTGCAAGCCTGTCCAAAATATTGATTGGTTTTTTAAAGTACTATTCAAAAACATAATAATAATAATTATACTATTGATTAAAATTAGCTGACAAATAGACAATAATAAAAATAATCAACAATTAACATTGTTCAAGGTTTTTTTTTTAAGAAAACACTTTTAGCAAACTGGTGAATATAGAAGACTATATTTTTTAAGGTAAAATTATTTAAAGACAAGGTAGTCCATGGTACCAATTGCATTTTTGGAAAAATTCCCAGCACGCGCACATAAAAAAAAAACTTATCACTTATCAGCACAACATTATTAACGATTTTCGGAAGGGAGGTGGCGAGAGCAGAGGAGGGCCAAAACGACATTGACATTTCCAAGCGATAATCAGCGCATGCCGCACAAAACCATCAGCACAGGAAGCACAACACGTGCGGCCTTCGAAGACAAGGAGGGGGGGCTGAGAACACACCTATCTGAACCGGCCTGAGGCACGACAACATTTTGGAACACTGGTTAGCAGTTTGCTTTATCAATCAATAGTAGAACTTACACGCTGTGAAAGCTTTTTTCGAAAACCTCGTTGATAATTTGTGTCTTTGCGTCTTAATAGAAATTTGCGCACGTTTGAACTCGGATCGCCGCACTTCGAACTGTCAACTGTGCTTCTGGCTGGCGCTGGATGCACATCTCCACTTGTTGTCCGTGGGGTCCGTGCACCGAAATAAATCCAAAGCGTCGAACCCCACGGCCTGCATGTGCATGAGCTGAACTCATTTCATAGGGGTTTGCCATAAATAAATATTGAATACAGAAATACAATGATCAGAGGATTTACATTTGCTTTCGAGTCGTTTTTAATCATAATTATAAATACATACAAATTAGGTGGAAACTATGCCGCCTCACACGAACAACTTCAGATTTTGTTGCATGTAATCGACGAGCGCCTTTTCAAATAGTGGACGCGTCATCGCATCCAATGCGAGATTGAAGCTAACGTAAAACTGTCGGCCGTAGCGTGTGCTCAATTTTGTGGCCAGCACAAGGGAATCACTATGCCCACTGGAGCCCATAAATGTGGTGGCCACAATCTGTTTGCAGGGCGGACGGGCCGGCATCGCGACGGCGAACTCATCCAAACGCTCCGATTCCTTGCCACTGAGGAAGATCATCGTGCTGCCGTTCATCTTGAGGACACGCAACGTACACTGCAAAGTGCCCGCATCCAGTTGGGCCATGTGCGATGTGAAGAGTTCCATCTGCACTTGTTGCTTTTCAGCCGCAACGCCGGCATCTTTTTGCTGTGTCAGCGCACAGCTTTCCATTTGCTTTTTGTGTCTGGATTTAAAGTACTTAATGCCTAACAGGCAAAAGATTTTTGTTGGTTGTCCTATAAATGAATAAGGAAAGCGCCACTGGCGTCTTTTTTGTGTTAAAATGCTTCTTTTGTGTTTGTCATTACAGTTCAATGTTACCTTAGTTGCAAGAAATTGACTATCGTTTTATATGAGTCAGTGTGTTCATCTACAAAATATCGATATATATCGTTCTATTTTAGTATTTTTTAGGAATAGTTTGTAATTATCAATTTAAAATAATAATTGAAAGTCATCTCGAGGTGTGTTGCAAAAATCGCAGCAACCGTTTCATGACATTCTCGCAGATATGCCTCAGATTTTTATGTCAGTCGGTGTATGGAATATTGTCGAATGAAGATACATTTATTTGGAATGAAAGTCAGTTGCAACAGATTGACATTGGGTGTTATAAGAATAGTTGTGCTCCTGTTATTATTTCAAATTGAGAATATAATCAGCAGAGCAACGGTTTATCAGTTAATCAAATCACAACTTTACTGATTCTATCAGTTTCTAATTTGTATCTTTAACTGCAAATCTAGCCATGATGAGCTTATCTCCCTTGGCAGAGACGACTGTCCTGGCGCCAAAGCGCAGGGAGAACCAATAATTGAGCCTCCTCCGGTTGAATTGCAAATGGTCCAGGGCTGCAAAGCCAACTGCAGTTGGCAACCAAAAGCATAAGTGAAGTTAATTGTTTTTTATGACAGAATTGAAACACGTTATTATTCGCCGTTCGCAGTGTTGTTTTCAGTTTATTAAGGCTCTATATAATGTTGGCGAGTTTTTGTTTTTTTTCGAGTTAAAATACATTCAGATTACGTTTTCGACGCTTACTCCGATCTGTGAGCTGTGCAATGAACATTCATGATTATATTTTATGGAGCAGGTTTCTTATTTTTCTTGTTGATTTGAACTACTTAATTAATACGATACATTATTGCGGGCTGTGCAAGTAGCAAACAAAAAATGTTTTGGAATTTATTAAAAATGTGAATATTTATATTTCGTTTAAAAGATCAGTTCAGTTCCGGTTAAATGATTCGAAATTGAATTCACTAATTTCTTTATAATTCCTATTTAATGTGTGTTGTATGCTTTTGCTAATTACATTTAGCGATTCGTCGGAAATTCGTATCCCGCTTGGAACGATTTCGCTAAATTGTTTTTCATTTTTTAGTTGAGTTAAATATCAATTTATTTATTAAGTTTGAGTCTATTGCTGTTTTATTTATTGGTGATTAATTGTTAGTTAGCTTGAACTTGAATGAATATCAAATAATTTGGATTAACTTTTAGCTTTTCTTCTACTATAATTTGACTAACATTTGCAACAGCGATTTCAACTTCCATCTTGTTGTTATATATATATAATGTATCAATGTGCTTATGTATTTTTTTGTTGTTTGTTTTTGTTTTTTTTTTTGCTTTTTTGTTTTTTAAAGGTTAAATATTTTTGTTTGTTTTGCTTTAGCTGGTTGCGAATAAATATATAGAACTGTTATACATATATTGTGTGTGGTTATTAATAGTATGTAATTTTGGGAGCATTTAATCCTCATCGTCCTCAGATTCGGCCTCCTGTAGCCAAGTCAACCAGGCGTTCACTTGGAACAATGCCGAGCCCTTGCCGGGATATTTGTCAGAAATCTCCTCCTTCCACAAAACGAATGCTTCCTCCTCGATGATCTCGGAATCGTACAGATATTTGAACCAGCGACACAGCATGCCTATAAAAAATAATAATGATAAAATGATGGTTTCATTTGAAATGGTCACTGCTACTCACCCTTGGGGAAGTTCTCGTTGTAGCAGAGGAGCTGCAGGGCATAGAGTGCCATCAGTTGCAATTCGTTTTGGCCGAGGAAGGTCTGCAGCATTTGGCTATAGGTCTCCAGCATGGCCTGTTCTCTTTGTGTGACAGACTTCTCGGGATGCTCCTTGGGATCCATGTTGCTGGCCAGAGTTGTCTCCTTGGTTATATATTTGACCACAACAGTCATGAGGGCCTGTATGAAGCCCGGATCCTTATAGTATTTGTTGTCCACATTGGCCTTGATCCATTTATAGAAACTATTCGGATTGGGATCACCCTGCAGCTGCTTCAACATCTCAGCCTGCACCTTGAGCAGGGGATAAAGGAACGATAGCTGTCGATCCTCAAGTATTTCACCCAGTCGCTCCTTGTTGCGATCCACCTCTTGTAGACTGTTCATCAAATCAATTTTGCTGGCACGGAACTTCTCCTCGAGCGCATCCTTGCCAATCGTTTTATGCAGTTGCTGCAGCACCAGCAAAAACAATGGATAATGCTGTCCATTGTCCGTAAAGTTGGCGATATCAGTTAGCTTAATCAATGCCGGTTCGCAGACCGCTTTGCACAGCACCGAGGCGACCAGGGCGGTAATCCTGGGATTCAGCGCCTCACGCTCATTCATTTTGTTGACCAACTGCTTGAAGATCTCAACGATCACATTCGGCTTAATGACGGATTGCTTGCGCAATGCCTGCAGGAAGCGAACGATACGCTCCAGGTAAACATCGTTCACACGATCCAGCACCTCCATCAGCAGATTGAGGCATACATCCTTAAGCGATTTCTCCGGCAGTTTTAATTCAATGAAACCATCAACTAGCTCGGTAAATTGATCGGTTTTAGTTGTCTCCTCATCCAATGTTGTTGTTGTCGTAGTTTCGGTTTCGGTTTCGTTTTCAGCTTCCTCTTGGGTTGCTCCTTCAGTTATTATTGGGGGGATGGTGGTCGTGGTTTCATCATCTTTTTGTTCGTCATAGTAGAATTTATCCTTAAAGTAGACAATTGCCTTCTTGTTTAGTTCCTCCTTGCTGGGTCCCTTGTCCTTCTTCTGTTGCTTGCTAGAACCACCAGCTGCGGTAGTTGAGCCAGATGGCGTTGTGGGGCGCTCGGCGGCACCATTCTTTGAGCTGCCACCGCTTGGCTGCTCCTTGTTCTCGCCAACTCCCGCTGCGGCACCGTTTGCTGTCTTCTTCTCCGCGTTATTTTCTGCGACTGCTGTAGCTGTGCCAAAGTTGGGCGACGAAGATGTTGCCTTGAGGCTCTTCTCCGCCTGCTGCTGAGCCGTGTGTAGCGTGCGATTCTCTGCGCCATATTCAGCCGATGGTGTGGACGATGGTCGCGTTGGAGTGTTCATTAGATGTGATGTGGGCGTGCCGAGCAGTGGATAATGCGAATTGGATAGCTGCGATGTGGACTGCTGCTGCTGATGCTGAGAGGAATTGCCGCTGGGCGGCGTTGAGATCGGCAATGTGGCCGGGAATTTCTGATTTTGGGAGGCAGCGCGGAACAGCAACGAGTTGGCTGCCGGACGCATCTGCAGATTCTCAACCGAATCCTGATTCGCTGTGATCATATTGCGCTTGAAACGCGGCGCCAACTCTTTGCCAAGGAGCATCTGATTGCTGCCACCGTATTGGCCATCGTTGTTGCGATCATTATTGCGATCGTTGTTCCGATCATTGTTCCGATGCGAGCCACCATTGCCGCCACGTGAATCGTCGCGATTGCCGCCGCCGCTGCCGCCGCCCTGGCCACCAGCGCCTCCGTTTTGACTGCTGTGCTTATTGTTGTAGCGATTATTGTAGTTGCCACCACCGCCGCCGCCATTGTTGCCACCGTTGTTGCCACCCTGGTCACGATTATTGCGATCACGATTGTTGTACTGACGATTGTCACGATCCCGATCCCGATTATTGCTGGTCACGAAGCTGTGAATGCATAGAAAACGAAAGGGATTATTATTGTTATTGATTAGTCATCGTCGTAGAAGAGGATGCCACATTGTCCGTTGTACTTACGGTGATACGATGGGTGATGCTCCCGTAACGCTCAGGCCGCTAAACATGTCATTGTAGCCGCCTGGCTGTATGTTGAGATGGAATCGATTCATCCAGCTGTCGCCGTCGCGATCATTGTTGCGCATATCGCGATTCCGATTGGCGAATGGTGTGCGTATTATTGAGTCATCGTCCGAGCGTATTTGCTTTATGGGGACGGGTCCCTCGGCGCTGCCGCCAACTTTACGGGGTATCCAGTGATTTTGGCGCAGTTCGATGACATCCTTTAGCATGAAGCGTATCCTTGGCGGATATTCAGTTGACTGTGAACGACGTTCCAACGTCTTAAAGTACTGGTTCATCAGCTCTTTGACCTGTTCTGAATCCAAATTCTTGCCGCAAGTCTTGAGCAATTGAGCCAGGCATTCCATGTCCTCGCACATCTCCTGCGCACCGGCCGTACGCTTCTTCTTCTTATCCAATAGCTCCATAATGCACGCATGCAATACATTGTTCGATAGCATATCCAACTTATTGAGCTCACCAATGAACTTGACATTGCCGAGCATGCGCTGCTTGGCCAGATGGCGTCGCTCCTCCTCGTCAGCCTCATTCTCGGGCGGTGGACGATTATCGTTCGCCTCGTCGCGCTTCAGGCGATTGTTGAACTTATCGCGACAGACGGCGATGAGCAGACGCAGAAAGGTGCACGAATTGTTTGGTTCCTTTTCAAACGGCGCTTCCTCGGACAGACGCTTGCACAGCTGTGCATACATAGACGAGTATTTCGGCTCGTCCAAGGCTTTATCGAAAATTAGCAGAATGACACCATTTAAAATGGCAATTGAATTCAGATCGAGTTTGAGTAGTTCATCGCTTAGCTCTTGGAATTTCTCCGGTGTTAGTTTGTTGAGGATGCCACGCACACGTCGAAACACAGCATCATTCTTTTCGCTCTGGGTGAGGCCATGCTGTGGACGCAATGATGGCGGTATCCAGCGGCCAGTTATCTGTTGTTGCTGCTGCTGCTGCTGTTGTTGTTGAGCGCCTCCAGTTGCTCCTGCACCGCTAGGCGGTGGTGTTGCCGACTTGGCTGGCAATTGTTGTTGCTGCTGCTGTTGTTGCTGTTGATGTTGTTGCTGCTGCTGATGCTGTGCTCCACTGTTGCCGCTCCTAATGCTGCTTTGGCCAGCACGCTCGTAACGCTCGTCGTTGTTGCCTCGATTACTGCTATAACGATTGGCAGCGTGTCCGTTGCGTTCTAGACTACTGCCACCGTAGCGATCCTCTGCGTAACTCTGCTCTCTGTTGTCCCTCTCCCTTTCTCTATAGTTGTCACGGCTGTTGCTGGTATAGTCGTCGCGATAGCGTCCGCCGCTCAGGCTGCTGTTGCCATCGTTGCGTTGCGATGCGTAATTTGACTTGTTCGGATTACCGCCACCAACAGATGATGAGGTGTTGTTGCTGCCCGCGTTGCCGCTGTTGCCGTAGTGACGCTGCTGTTGTTGTTGTTGCTGCTGCTGCTGTCCACTGCTGCTGCTGCTGGTGTTGCTGTTGTGGCTGCCAGTGTTGCCATTGCCATTTAGTGTCTCGTAGCGTGAGCTGCTGTTGCTGCTCCGATAGTTGCTGCCCGAATTGGTGTTTAGATTACGATTATAGCTGCCGCCGCCATCGGAGGAGTTTGTGTGATAGTTGTTGCGACTACCACGATGGACTCCAAGACCACTGCCGTTATAGTTGCTGCTGGAGCTATCAGCGTTTAAACCTGGCTGCTGACTGCCGCCACCGCCACCGCCGTTGTTATTGTTGTTATTATTGCCGCTTGCACCCAAAATGTCACTATTTTTGTTATAGTAACGCGACGACGACGACGAATCGTTTTGATATGATCGTCGAGGCCTTGGGCTTAGCTCCGAATCGTGTTGACGAATTTTGACGGAATTTTTATTATAGCCAGTGGAAAAGTGTCCGCTTGGGCCACCAACTTGTCCAGCACCTACTCCGCTTATTGCTGATGATGCACCAACACCACCACCACCTGCTGATCCTCCAACACTTGTCCGACTACCGTTGCGTGTGGCCAACAGCGAATCGTTGCCAGATTTATTCGCACGATAATTGTTGCCCGTCGAATTGGTCGTACCCTTATCGATTTTAACCAGATTCTTCAAATTATTGAACGTATCGGTGGCAGTGGTAATGGGTAAAAGATTTGGACTGGTATTGAGCAGAGTTTTTTGTCCCAATGCTGACGCCGTTGTTGTGGTTGCTGCTGTTGCTGATTGTGGTGTCGGTGGTGTTTGGCCGCCTCCGCTGCTGTTGGTGCTGCTGCTGCTGGTGACGCCTATAACGGCGCCGCCGCCTCCGCCTCCACCGCCGCGATTGGTCAATTGATCGTAATTGCGCTCGATGATATCGTTTTGTTGGGCCGTTATTACCAAACGCAAATCGTTGACGCCGCCGCCGATGCTCGTCGTGTCACCGGTGCTGGTGCCTCCCTCAATGGTGATCGTTTTGGCGCACTGGCGAAACTGATCTATGATGACGCCTGCCTGATGCCCGTTGCTAGTACCGTTAGCCCAACGTTGCGGCGGACTATCGTCGTAAGTGTGCAAAAGGGGAGCGGCGTCGTACGTTGATAGTGGAATGGTGATAATTTTTCTTTATCGACTCGGGAGCGAAAAAATTTCAATACTTCTCTCTCTCCTCTCTCGCTCTTTCTGTCTGTTTGTCTCCTCCTTGTCTGTTTCAAGCCTCACACACGGTTGTAATTCGAAATTCGTGAAGGAAGCTCTCCGTCTCTTTTTCGCTTTGTTAATTAACGGTGCTTCTTATTTGATCCTGCTGATAACTCTATATGTATCTCTTTCCCTCTTCTGTGTTGTTAGACAACACTCCACACACGCGAAACAAAACAGAAATTTTGTATAGTACACACAGGACACACGCACACAGAGACACACACACAAAATATATCTATATATCTGTATATGTGTATATATAGACGGAGTATATGCAAATGATGGGGATCCCTTCGGTTGCTTTGTCAAAAAGGCTCTATTTCGATTCGGCTGCTTCTCCTTCTGCTAGTTTGGTTCTGCGTGCGTTCTCTTCTTCCGGATTTAGGTAAGGTAATTTGTATAGTAGATTCCTGTCTAATCGGATTTTGCCTGCTCCGTTGCTGCTGCTTGCCGCTTACACTTATAGGAATCCTGTCAACATAAATTAAAAACAAAAAAAAAGACAAACAATTCGTCCCAAAATGTTAATAAGGCAAAAAGTTTCTTTCACAGAAAATATAGACGATAGGAAATGTTTTATGGTGTAAATGTACTACAATGACAAATGGAAAAAATAAAAAAATTATAAAAAAAAATAAGTAAATTCGAAGGCTTTCTCGAAACTGCTTTTCACATACAAAAACACACACATTCATTACTTTATATGCGTAATAAAGCTGTCGCCTCACAGCTGTTCAAAAAAATGCTCGCTTCATCATTTTGATTCGCTCGTGATTTTTCCAGTGAAAAGAGAGCTTGGCTTAAAAAAAAAAAAAACGGCTTGTACTACACTAAATAAATCCAACGGTTGTTTGCCTCTATTGGATGGCGTCAGACGTCGGCAATGGGAAGCTATCAGAAAAGTTTAAAAACTGGAATTTTAATGAAAATAACCTCGCAAAACACCTTCAAGTTTATTTCACATTTCCCCCCACACACGACGCAACTCAATTGAGCGCCACAAGCACACACACACACATAGAGAGACACACACACACACAAGCGACCAACTGCTGCGTTCTCGCTTCAGCTTGGGGAAATGTGTTTGCTTGGTTGTGTGTGTGTGTAAGTTTATGTACAGCTGCGTGACGGCGTTGCCATCTTTATGCGCAGCTAAAGTGCACTTTATTATATATATATTTTTGTATGTATGTAAATTAAATTAGTTAAGCTGCTCAATGCACAATTGAAATGCACTTTAATTGATTGTAATATGTGTGTTGCACATTATTCTAGGGGCTACACCTCACAAACTGGTCCGATTACTTTTGTTCTTTGTTGTTGGATATTTTTCTTTGCTCAGATTGAGTTGCCATATGTGTAATACATATAGAAAATTAAACTGGGATGTGGATGCTCACGTATCTCTCTCTTACACACACACACACACGCACAAACAAAAATATACATATGCCAATGTATCTGTGTGAGTGTGTACTCATTTTGCTAGACGCTGATGCTGCGCACAAGCAAACGAATTTCTCAGTGTCAGTGTCCTTTCGTTGTGTGCGTGTGTGTGCCATTGTGTGTGTGTGTGTGTGTAGAGGTTTATGGCCTCTGCTAGAGGAGCTTTTGTTGGTCGTTCGCAGTTTTTGCGTTCTGCGCCATCGAATTAAAGTCTCTTGACCCCAATAAAATGTACTAGATGGGCGCTTTGCGTTGTTGTTCTGTTGATTAGCGGTTCGCTGCTAAGCATAAACAATATTATTTCGCAGCAGAAAGTGACTCACATTCACTGACTAAAATTTTTTTGTTAGAAAATATTTCCACTCAAAGAGAAACTCACATATATGCATATATTTATGTATATAAATATCTGTGTGTATGCAAGTTCAATTTGAAATTGCAAATGAAAAGCTCGCCCCAAAGCAACCCTGAGCTGGTTTTACAGTTAGTTTACTTGAGTTTCTGTCTGTATTGCTATATTGGTTGCCACAACCCGCTTGCAATTTAATATCTTATAAGCACCCCCAAAAGTGCCCAAATGTAAAACCACCCCAAAATCAAAAAAAAAGAACAAACAGGCTGTGTGCATATTTGCCGCCCTGTGAGCGTTGCAGCAGCGCAAAGACATCGACGTCGACGACCCCGACCCGAGTATAAAAAGCAACGGCTACAACAAGAGACCCAGTTGTGGATGATTTTGACCTCAATTCGAATGAGTCGTCGTTAAGTAAACCCCACTAGAAAATACTTGATGCCATTTCCAATGACACACACACACACACACACAATGAAAAAATGAGCAGGAATTGAATTGTGCTCAGCAAATACCTAAATTATTTTTTATTCATCTATTCAACGCAATGACCCGCCCTCGTTTTCTCTTGAGCCACAAGAACCCGGCCTGTTTTCAGTATACCCTGCAACTAGTTATTAGTTATTTCTACTCTTTACACAGTGCTTTCGTCATACAAAGTGCGCACACACACACGCACAATATAGATACTGTGTGTTCGTGTGCTTGCATTTGTGTACGTGCAAACGTGTGTGGCTGTTTCACAAAGATAAAAGCGTACACACGGAAAATCAAAATGAAGCTGCATTGAAAGCGAATCGAAAAACTCAATCTCAACTAAGGAGAGAGAAGAGAAGAGAGACAGACATAAGCGTGCAGCAGCAAAGGCAACGTCAACAGCAGTTTTTCCGCTGTGTGCCGCCGCCATTTTGTTTGCTGGCACTTGACGTTGCTTTTGCTGCTGCTGCTGCTGCTCTTCTCTCGCTCTTTCTATCAAATACATATGTATTTTATATGCATACGCACATACATATATATATTTCTTTGTTTTTTGAGTGAATCATTTTTGTATTTCTTTGTCAATTTCATGCAGCGCATTTCCACATTTTTTTCTTTCACTCAATTTACACAAATTCCCCACTATTGCATATTTCACTTTTATTGATTCAACGTGAAATTGCTGTGTGCCAGCGAAGACGAAACGAGGACGTTCCAAATGTAAATTGGTATGTACATGCAATGCATGAGTACATCATGGAACAAATTTTGTAGGCTATAATTTTTTCAGGCTTTTTTTTCATAACCCTAGCACACTTTGCATTTCAAATCGAACAGAAAATGACACATTTTTGTATATGTAAAACACGAAAATAGTAATAAGATCCGAACTTTCTCCACCTTTATTGTACTAACCTCTATAAATTACTGACTGTATGGCAAGTTTTTTGCGAAAATTACTACCACCAGTCCGACGTGCTGCAAGACAATCGACGGTATTATCGCTTTCTGCCAAAGATGGCGTGCTCTTCGATGCAATAGAAATTATCGATATGCCTAAATATTTCTATCGGCAGTACAATGAAATTGTTGGAACATATATCTATGTTGTTAGCATATTAAATAAGTAAATTAATTTTTGATTTAATATTAAATTTCCAGTAATATTAGTTACTGTTCATATAAAATGCATTTATTACTACAGCAGATAGTTGTAAAGCCAGTGTGACCCCATTAGTTTTATATCATAGCTATCGATTAAATGCACATCGATTGTTCACGAAACAGCTGATTGTATTTCAATCTCACGCAGTTCCAATCGTTCCCCACAGTTTGTTTATATTCAGAATTGGGGGCGTGAGTACATCGGTTGCTATATATATATATGAGAAAAATGAGTGACGCTTGCATTTTACAATTTGCGCCATTTGAATCGTTTGTGTCGCCCACATTCTGGCACAAATTAGCTGAACTGAAATTGGACTACGATCGTCTCTCGGATGCGGAACGCTCAATTTCTGGCCACTACACAAATCGTAAGGCGTCTGGCTGTCTGCTCGAGGTTGATTACACTGCGTACAATAGGTAAAAAAAAAATAAATGGGTTCCGATAAGAAAATATCATTTACATTTTATTTGCATTTTGCAGTGCGGCGCAGGCACCAAAATTCAGCCATGCAGCCGTCGGGCATATCTACAATAAAAACACCATTGAGGAGTTCAAGGCACTGGACAAGTCAGCGCTGCTGGCAGATGAGGGCAAACAACTGTTGGCTGACATGAAAAGCGGCCGAGTGCTGAATGATCCTAATTTATTGGCGCGTTTCTTTGTGCTGTCGTTTGCCGATCTCAAGTGCCACAGTTATTACTACTGGTTCGCCTTCCCCTGCCCCCTGACGCCTACATTGCAACTGGAATGCTCCCCGACAAAGCTAAAAGAACTCCACAATTGTGGACCTATTGTGGCTGCTATTCGTGCCTTGCCTGCGGAATCTCAAAACTTTTTTATCTTGTATGCAAATGAGCGGGAAAATGTGTGCGAAACACGCAGCTTAAGCGCTGCTTTAACCAATTTTAATGAGAGCGATGCGCAGCATTATTATTACTGCTTTGCGGATGCCAGCGAGTATGAGAATCCGGCCTGGCTAATGCGCAATTATGTCGCCTTTCTGCTGCACCAATGGTAATTATCAAAGAAAAAACAAATACACTCAAACTGCGCTCGTCCGCTCTCTTTGATTTGAGCGATAGCACTGCCTTGGGAGAGATATTTATTGTACTCAGTTGAAAGGAGGGAAAGTGGAGCAGTTGACTATTGAGCGATCAATTGCAGAGAGCGAAGCGTAGAGCGTAAATTGTCAAAAGACACAACTCAAATACTCATTAATTTCCTCATTTTAGCCCCACACTTGTTGGACAAACGCTGAAATTTATGGGTCTGCGATACGATCAGCAAATGGCATTGGACAACAGCCTGATATGGCAAGTGTTGCAAGCAGAGAAATGCAACTATGACGAACTGCGATTTGTCGGCTGGGAACCGAATGCCAATGGCAAAATGGGTCCACGTTTGGCCAACATGCGCGACAGCATGGATCCAGCCAAGTTAGTCAATTACTCAAAGCCAATTATATGTAAATAACAATAACTTCTTTCAGATTGGCCGAGAACATGATAAACTTGAATCTGAAGCTGATGAAGTGGCGACTGGTGCCGGATTTGAATTTGGAAATCTTGGCGCAAACCAAATGTCTACTTTTTGGCGCCGGCACTTTAGGCTGTGCCGTGGCTCGCAATCTGTTGGTGCGTCTACTTAATGTGCCATTATGTGCCAAATTTATGCATATGATTTGTATTCTTTTTAGTCTTGGGGCTTCAAGCACATTACGCTACTGGACAATGGCAAGGTGGGACATTCGAATCCCGTTCGCCAGAGCCTCTACACGCATGCGGATGCAGTGGCTGGCAATCGGATGAAGGCCACTACGGCGGCAGCGTGTCTACTTAAGATTAATCCCAGTGCGGTGACCAAAGGATTTGTCTTAGAAATACCAATGCCTGGCCACACCGTAGGCGAATCCCTGCGCCTTGAAACTGTACAGCATTTGCAGCTAATTGAGCAGCAGGTGCTAGAACATGATGTCATCTTTCTGCTAACCGATTCGCGTGAGAGCCGCTGGCTTCCCACGCTGCTGGGAGCGTCCCACTCAAAGGTGTGCTCTCAATTGAAGATTGTTTATTTTTTTAAAGATTTAATATGGTTATTTGCTGCAGGTTGTAATCAATGCAGCGTTGGGCTTTGACAGTTATCTAGTGATGCGTCATGGCAGCACGCGGCAGGAGTTTGCCGATGCCCAGCAAATCCAGCATATTGCTGGACTCAAATGCATTGCTGGCCAGCAATTGGGTTGCTATTTCTGCAATGATGTCACCGCGCCCGGCAACGTAAGTGCTCGAACAAAGATTTAACAAACATTTTTAGAAACTTTCAGACTTTATGTGTGGCATAGATATGGTATATAGATGGCTTATATTGTACAGGTATACCAATTTATAATCCATACTTATGGCTAGGCACACTCGTAATCGTGTCGCGAATACTTCTCAAATGCGGCGCACGTTGGATCGCCCGTTTGCATGTGATCGACTCCACTTATTTGGATGACCAAGCCATTTATGGTCGTCACCTTGAAACCGACCAGGTTCATCATGGCGCCCGGTGTACGCCACGTGTAGCTAAAGAAATTGTAGCCATCCACAGCGGTCAGCACTTCGCGTTCCGTAAACGCCATTGCCAATTTAAATTGCTGATTGAATTTGAATGGAAACTTGCCATGGCGCTCCTCATTTCCAAACCTGCAAAAGGGCACAACAAATATCGAGATTAGCCTAAAGCGAAAGAAACGTTTGCTTGGGGACTTACTCAAAGTTCTTGTTCATGGAGTTGCGCACAACGGCCTGCTCATGGAAACGCACACTGAAATGCAATTCCTCGCGCTTCGTATCCGAATCCATGAACTTCAGTATAAACTGGCCACGATCATTTCCAAAGCAACGCGCTGTTATCACAATCACATGGCCTGGACTGAACAATATCGGCTGATCGTTGCTAAAGGCCTTAAAATAATCGGCGGCTTGTATGGCTGGCCAGGGATTGGGAAAGATAGTGCGATGATCGACCTGTTTGATCACCTGTATCTGATCCCGGATCTCTATGGCTCGTATGCTGTTCACTGGCAAACGGTAGCGGAATGTGCAAAAGGCCCGGCTATTTACCGATATGTGAAAGCAATCCTCGCTGGCCAAAATGTACACCATGAAGAACTCACCGCTCACAATCGGATTGGGCAGCGTTACATTGGTCATGACCTGTGTCTCCTCCTCACCCCAAATGCCGTGCAGTCGGGCATTGCGGACGATCGTATCTTTGCGAAAGTAGCAGGAGAAACGTAAACCGATATCCGCATCTGGATCTACAGTTGTTTTCGCCGTACACAGATTGATGTGGAATCTATAATGGGCAGTTACACAATTTAATGTTGGCTTAGTCATTTTGGACGGGGGGCGATAAGAGCACTTAGTCATTAGTTGTTTGCAGACTGCGTCTGTGTACTTTACCTGGCGGCACCATCGATGGTCTTGGCCACAATTTCCAGTACATGGCCAAATTCAAGGGGATGCGACAGATTTCCCGTGTATTCTGTTAACATATTTAACCAGCGGTAATTTAATAATATTGTTATTAGGTAAACGATTTAAGGCAACAGTTTTATCGACGTTGTCATCTACACTGCTGCAAACAGCAAATCTACATTATTACTGCGAACGTTTAATGAAAACAATATTTTTTATGGGCCTTAAAAATCGTCGCTCTCTCTCACGGTGTGTGGGACTTTTTTGTGATTTTCCACGTTGAGCGTTGGGTGCTCAATCGAATTTTTGCTTTTTATCTTATCAGCAGCGACTCGAGAGATTCCACGGTCTGTGATTGTACTCAAACGGTTACGTACGTTGCTACTTGGTTTAGGTTTTTGTTTTAGCCACAATTTATAATTGTTTACTTGGCGCTCGCACGCTCAGCTGACTTATCTAGCGGCATTTTTTATTTATTTATTTTTATCGAAAGCTCACACCTGAAGCTTTTTTTGATCTGTAAGATGAAAGCTTGCATGCTGTTAGAATCCAAGCACTGTTAAAGACTTTCTTACAAATTGTGAGCTGCATTAGCAATTTGTTGTATATCTAACAGTTCTAACTGGCTTAGTTACACAATGTTTTAGGGTGTATTTGGGCACTGTGTTACCGATCGAACTACTCATGTAAAAATATAAAGCTTTTATGTTATTGATATTACAGTCGCTTAAGGATCGCACATTGGATCAACAGTGCACTGTTACACGACCGGGCGTCTCTAACATTGCAGCCAGCTATGCAGTGGAGCTTTTGGTGTCGCTGCTGCAGCATCCCCAAAGGGAAATGGCGCCCGCCTACTATGCCAACAGTCGCGAACAGCAGAATACGGAGGCGCAACAACCCGAGGGACTGCTGGGCATCTTGCCGCACTCCGTACGCGGAATGCTGTGCAACTATGAGAACGTTTTGCCAGCCACACAAAAGTTTGCGCAGTGTATTGCCTGCTCGGAGGTATGGAATTAATAATATTAATAAAATTAATAATAATCAAAATATTTAATATGTGTATTTGATATTCTAGCGTGTTTTGGCGGCCTATCGCAGCGAGGGACATGCATTTTTGTTTAAAACATTCGAAACGGCCAAGTATTTGGAGGATTTAACTGGCATTTCTGAGTTTAAGCGACTCAATAGTGAAGTAGGTTTAATATTGGAAATATTTCCAACTGTTATCAATATTTAAAATTATATATTTAATCTTCATTGCAGATAATCGACTTCGATGAAGATCAATTTGATTTGTCCGAGGCTGAGGATGATTAGCTCAACTTAGTCATTGCATTTAATATTGTACTTAAGCTGTTCAATACCAAAAAAATATGTGTTTTTTCTTGTGTAGTGCTTTTAAATGTACTTGTGTAATGAAATATGTTTCTTATATATGTATGTCAGAAGGCTCTCATAGCTGTATTTCACTTATTTACACGTAAATAACTGAACCACAAGGTTAGTGCGAGGAGTGCTTATAATGCTTATAATATTTGCATCCAGAAACCATTTTGCAATTTATATTTTAGTATCAGCCCAAGCAGAGATGGTTGACAATTATATAGATTGGATTGTGCGACAAATATTTTCTGGTAAATTGCTAGAATTCGCAAGCATATATTGTCATTTAATACGAAAATAGTGTTCAGCGGTTTTTTAAATTTTATAATTGATCCGCAACTTTGTGCAGATTACTTGAAAAATATAAATGGATTTAAATTATAAAATGTACTTGTATGAACATTCTTTGCACCGTTTATCTAATATTATATGTTAAATAAAGATTAATTGTGTAACTGTGTAAACCATTATCTATAAAATTACTCTCTGGCATCAAGTCTAAGCCAAACCGAAGCAGTATAATACAGATACAATAATAAATCATTTGCTAATGCGGTTTATTCATTCCTATCAATCATTTTTGTATTACGAAACTAATAGATTTTTATTATTTATGTTTCGATTCTCAATTGGAAAACTTGGAAGCGATTTGTTTTGAATACCATATACAGATTACAGTTTGCTTGCGACAGATAATAATATTGTTCGAAATGAGATGTTTTCGGTTCACAGGCCTAGACCTAAAAAAAAATTTTCGCCAATTCGTTGACAGTTTCCGATTTGTTATTGTTTTTATTCTAGAAGTGACGACAATCGTTGCTGCTCAGGGTTTTTTTTATTACGAAAATAATAACGATTTTAATAGCAGCACAGTGTTGATAATAAAAACATGTGCAAATAATATAAATCAAACGCAGAACAACTAAAAACAGGTGCTTTGAGTGACCTGCAAAGAGATCAATTCTGCCATAAATTGAGTCAATACGAAAGTTCATTAAACCCAAATGGAATGGAATGTAGAAAGCTACGGGGTCAACACATTATGCTAATAGTAGCAGTGTTTTTTCGGGTCAATTGGCTGCTCAAAAAGAAGAAGAAAAAACAGAATCTGCCTGTTCTCAAAATAATCTATTGAAATTAGATTTGCATTTTAATCCTAAGAACCTTATTACCTACCGCATCTTGTTGGTCTCCGCATAGATCTGTAAAACAAACAACAACAACTTGACACACAACATACATATAAATGTACAGTTTGTGAAGAAAGTATTTGGACACATAACAAAATTCACATTTTCTCAAAAATGTATTGCATATTTTTCTAATTTTTCTATTGTAAATTGGAGCTGTTAAAAGCAATTAAAGTAAAAAATTAACAAGATGAAATCGTAAAATCAAAATAATGCATTCTTTGGCTGGCTGAAAGAGGATTTTTTTCGTGTGTCCAAGCACTTTCTTGACAAACTGTATGTGTGTACATAGTAGTACTCATTTTCAAAAAAAAAGTCAAGTCATTTAACCTTAGGGCTTAGGCTAAATCAACAAAAACTCTCTTAAGGTTTGGCTTCCCACAGAGCCGAGATTATTATCAGCTTTCTTCTGCAAATATCGACAAGCGACAACAGCAACAACAACAACAACCACAACGAGAAAACTGTCTTCATAATTAATAGTGGTTGATGGGTCTGCCAAAGGCAACTCCGTCAACAACAACAACAACATGCATTTTTCAATGGCTCACAGAAGCGCAAACAAAAACCAAAAACGAGACAGGAACAACAACAACAACAGCAGCAGCAGCAGCAGGCGAAGAAACAACTCAGCGTGACAAAAAAGAAAAAGAAAAAAGCAGAAGAAAAGAGAAGTAAAAACAAAACACAACAAGACAAAATATGCAAATAACAAACAGCAACAATGGCTGCCAGCGGCTGTGCTCGCTGCAAAAGCGCTCAAAATGCCATTCGAGTCCGGTGAGTGTCACTCAAATTGCGTTTTGAGTGGAAAAGAGTGACGTTTTGCATGGGCCAACGGATTTCCATAAATTGGTGAAAGATACCTAAAACGGGCACACAAACCAAGTGAACGTGCTTCCAACTGGTAGAGTCGGCCATATACATATATATATATATATATATCCAATGTATCTAGTTGTCTACGAAATCCTACAACCATTTATATAATCTCAAAGTGTGTTTTTGTTATTTTCCAAAAAGGAGCAACAACAAAATGGTGAGTGCAAAAATGCCAATCCTGCTGCATTTTGCTGGCCAGCAAAGTGCATTTTTTGTGTAAATTATAATTGTGTTCACATTTTCCGTCAGTTTGAATTTCTTTTGTTTGAGTCAGTTTTCACTGCGGACTCAACCTGTTGCGAAAGTTGTGCGCCAAGTTGGCCGTTTTGAAACATTTGCAAACCGTTTTCAAATCTTCAATCAGGCTTAACGCACCCAAATTCTCTCTCGCTCTCGCTCTCGCCTTGCTTTGCTATCTCTGTCTCTATCTCGCTCTCGCTCTCACTATGGAACAACAACAGTCAATTGCCAAATTAATAGCTTGCGGCCAAAATTACTCATTTGAAGTGCGGTTTTTGGCTTCTTAATTTTGGACGCAATAAACGCACGTTTTTAACATAATTTTTATGTTCATCCAAATGCTTCAGCTGAATTTTGATCGTCATATTCGTAGGCAAAAGAATTGAATTTGTGCACATGTTTTTATTGATTCTCACATGATTAATGATTGCTTTCGAGTTATGTAAAGTCAAAACTAGTTTGCCCGAAAGTATGCAATAAATATAATTTTTAATATTCATTCATAATTTTTAAACTGCCATTCTTAGTCGTATTTACGATGGATAGAAATTGTCGCATAAATTTACTTGCTTTCTAGCTAATCTCTTAAATATATTTATGTATTTAATAAATATATATTGTGTTCTTAGGAAATAGATTATAAGTTTATAGATGTGTATGGAAATCATTAACAGTGAAATCATTTTAAATTTTTAGTCGTTTTTTGTAGTTTGCGACATATTTAGCTGTTTTTTATTAGCTGGTTTTTTATTTACTATATAAATTATGTTCTATGTAAAATAGATTATTTAATCAAATCATTATCAGTTTTTTGTTAGTTTTATGACAGATAGAAATTATTATTTTCTATGTAAGAAAAATTGTTTACTCAGAATTCTTAACTGCGGGATTTATTACGCTGATAATCTTCACATTAATATTAGATCATTTGGCTGACATAAGAACAATAGATCGATTTTTTATATCAGTCATCAATTTAAGATGACAGCAGGGGAATCAATAGTTGCTCATAGTTCTTCGAAAAAGTCAATCAAATTCTAAGTATTAAATCTTTCTAAAATATTAAAATGTGACGCAGAATGAATATTCTTTCGATTGTGCGGTGATTTTTCGTAGGTGAAGACCCAGTGAAATAATAAATATTATATTGTCCACGCCATGAAATTGTTCGGTCCATGAAGATGGGGAACGCGTCAGCAGCATCTGAATTTGGCTTATCAGTGACTATATATATATATATATATATATATGAGTGTATATATAAATATTCATTACGAGAATACCCACCAATTCAAGTTATCGCTGCTGCAATGCGTGTGCCTCCGTTTTGATGGTGCTATTTAAGCTACACAGCTCCTGGCAACGTATTTTAGATCGACCCGAGATCGGTCGTAATTCGTAATGTTATTGTTGATAATGGTGGGGTGAGCATTGTTTTTGTTTTTGCTTTTACCCTCAACGGGCATATGCACCGCACACATATATATATTTATATATATATATATATACATATAGAGGGTACTATGTACTTGTAGAAGCAACTGTGCTACGAATTTATAAGAAATCTTCGGATTATTGACTTACAGAAGCATTCGCAATCTGTCGGTTGAGTTAAGCGGTCTGAGCTCGGAACAAATAATTAATATAATAATAGAAACTAATTCAATGAGCGAAATATTCAATCTATATTGATACAGTTATCAGTCAGAAACAGAGACAGAGAGAGAGGGAGAGAGATAGAGATTGAAAGGAAGAGGGGGCATTACAAAATACGTAATTAATTTAAATCAATCAAAAGTAAGTTTTTAGCGATTATAAATCAATACTGAGTAGTTTTCCATTCAATTGATCTGGCTACAGATTGCAGTAGTTTTTGCAAAGTGTTTTCCACTTTAGCTAATCTCGATTGAATTTCTCTTCCAGGTCAATCAGAGCAAGTGCAAAATGGCATTGTCCAAAATTGATACGATCGATACGGAAATGGCGCACATCGATCAGGAGAAATATTTGCGACAGGCCACACAATATTATTGCGCGTTGGAGAAACCGCTGAAATACGGACCGGCTGTGGATACACTGCCTGATCTGGTAAAGGCGCTGCATCGCGAATTCGAATCAAACTATGTGAACATCGAGATGGTCAATCATCTGATGTTGGCCTACAAATCGAACCCGAAGGAATGGCGCAAATATGCCAAGTTCGATCGTTATACGTACACCCGGAATCTGGTCGATGCTGGCAATGGCAAGTTCAATTTGCTCATACTGTGCTGGGGTGAGGGGCACAGCTCCTCGGTGCACGATCATGCCGATTCGCATTGCTTCATGAAGATGCTGAAAGGTGAGCTGCGCGAGAAACGCTATCGTTATCCCAATCGGCCGGATAACGACAGAGTCCAGCAGCAGGAGCAGCATGGAGAGATCGATGATCGTTCGTTGGTGGAGATGGGTGAAACGCCCATACCACTCAATGATGTGGCCTATATAAATGGTATGTTCATTGCTTACTAATTCTGATTGAAATTACAACCATTTCATGCCTTACTTTTTTAGATAACTTGGGACTGCATCGCGTGGAGAATCCAAGTCATGCGGATACATCCGTTTCCCTGCATCTCTATTGTCCACCCTTCGACACGTGCAGCATCTTCCAGGAAAATTGCAAGAAGACCACCGCCAAGGTGACATTCTGGAGTAAATACGGTGTTCGAACCAAACTCGATGAGCAATAGATAAATGTGCAATTCCAACTTATTTGTTATGTAATTAATGCTTAGGTCTCTCGCTATTATAAGTTTAATATATTTCTTGATACACACACATATATATATATACATGTAAGTTTAGCTCTACTAATAACAAAAGAAAGAAAAAGAAAAAATCCAGAAAAAAACCAAAATTGGACAAAACAAAAAACCAACGAACGAAAGTGTCCCAAAAAACAAGCTTATCGATGCCGCCTTGAACCCCAAGTTGTTATCAGTTGTGCCAGAATATAGAAGTCGTGTTCTCTGCTAATCGCGCAATAGCGATCTTCTGGGTAAACCCCTGTCGAGAGTCTTCTGTATGTTCTTCAGCAGGCCCGGCAACAGATCGATATGCTTATCCACACAGCCACCGGTGCAGACCTCAAACAGATGCTTCGATCGCGACATTTCATGCTCGCTGGGATTTTTGCTCAATTGGGAGCGTGCATCGCTGTTGCATTCCTGGATAACAACGAGATGAAGAGGCTATTATAATAGGAGTGTCTGATCGATAGACGATCTAGCGATCTATTTGTGTGAACTCTGTCAAATCTTTGGCATGCCAAAGATAGCAGTTCTTGTTTGATTGCCGTTTCTGGGCCGCTCACCTTGACACAGGTTTGCAAGCGATTCTGAAACTGTCCCAGCTCGTTCTGCAGATAATCTTGGGCGTCCATCAATGGTGTGGCACACTTCTCAATGCAACGTTGTACGGTATCCAAAGTGCCGCGCTCATCATCACAACAGCTGGCGGCACAGCGATGCATTGTGGACTTTTGCGAGAGATGATTGGCATTTTGTATTTTGGTTAAGCTTGTGTACCTCTCCGTGTGGCATGCAACTCACCTGCATGCGACGCAAATGGGAGCGATACATGTCCTCAATCATATCGCTGATGGCGCCTTCGAGGCGTTGCTTTTGTTGTTCCACCATCGGATTTCGTACAATTTCAACAATTTTGGCAAAAATTTAAACAATTTCTATGTGTCTATGGCAATATGTGTGATGTATATCAGTTCCCTTTGGAGATGATTGCTATAATAAAGCCAACTTATGCTTACAATTTGTCTGCCATGAAAATGTATCAATTATTAATTGAACTTTTACGATTTTTTTTACAGGGTTCAGATTAACAATTTAGTGAAATAATGTGTAATGCAATTTGTTTTCGACTATGACTTAGACTTGTGGTATAGCTTCTGGTCCTTTAGCTAGGACCGATTTCATCGTTTTCATCAGACTGGGAATAAGACCAACGTGTTTATCAACACATTTAATGGCGCAGCGTTCAAATTGATCCGTGTATTTGGCGATTTCTTCCTCTTTGGGGTTGGGCGGCATTTTCACTTTGACATCGTCATTGCATTGCTGTAAATACGAATTGGAATTGGAATTTATATATATCATTGTATATATATAGCAGATATATCACTCACCATGACGCAACGTTGAAGTCTGCCCTGAAATTCGCCCAGTTCGTGTTGAACGTAGTTGTTTGCATTTGTCATTGGTGTTGAGCAGCGATCGACGCAACGTTGCACGCTGTCCACGCTGGAGTTGCCGTCCTGGCAACACTTTGCCGCACACAAATGCATTTCTGTCTGCAGGTCAAAAACATTGCAGTTACTTTGATATTCTACTTGGATTCTTTGGCACGCGGAACTTACCTGCATTTTACGTAGATGTGACTTGTCCATGTCCTCGATGAGCTCGGTAACGGCCGAGCTCACGCGTTGTTGCTGTTGTTGTATCATTGTAATAGGTTTATTGACTTTTAATTGGGTGCAACTACTGATTTCGTAATGAATCAAATAGAGCCGGCTACGCAGCGTGTTCTGTAATTCGTAACGATAATTACCTAATATCGATATATAGTCTAATCGATAGCGAGCCGAGTCAGCTGTTGCAGTCGGTATCGATACTTTATTACAAGGCAAACCGATTTGGTTGCAATTTGCAATTGTTCTGATTGCTATTTGACATTATTATTAATTAAAAACATGTCGCTGCTGCACAAACTAAGCCGAGTTACACTGCAGGTCAATGTATATCGTCAGATTTGCGGCACACAACGTGCATTAAGCAATGAGACAACCACAAAGGATACCAATCCGACCGAGGATGAGTTGGAAATCAGAAGCAAAGGCGGCTTTGCCCGGGCCTTTGAGAAATATACGGCGCCTGCAGCACCAGAGGCAGCTCCAGTGGACAATCAAAGCTTTGCCTCACTGCTGCGCAACTCCAAGTTCATTGACGTAAGTTGTTGGCATTGCTATGGATGCCATATGCCGCAGTGTTTATGTAATCTCTCAATTTTTGGCAGCTGGGCGCTGCTGAGGGCAAAGTGGTCAGTGGCAAAATATTCAATGTTGTCGGCGATGATCTTTACATAGATTTCGGCTGGAAGTTTCACTGTGTGTGCAGCCGACCAACGCGCAATGCCAGGTGAGATTCTTTGCATACTGCTGCTGAACAAGAACTTATATGATTTAAATGGCTAATCTTTTCCAGTGACTATGTGCGAGGGGCACGTGTGCGTCTGCGTGTCAAAGATTTGGAGCTGTCCACTCGTTTCTTGGGCTCTAACAAGGATATAACCATACTGGAGGCAGATTGCCAACTGCTGGGCCTGATCTCGTCGCCCACACGCCAAGCGGCCACAACACAGCCCCGAAGCACATTTACAGCACCAAGAATGGACGCATTGCTCTAAGTAATTACATCTATTGTCCAGTTGAGAATAACATATAAAATAATATATATACACATAATGTTTGTTAAGCGGTTGTAAACTGAAAAACCTCGTAGTGGTGATTCAGCTCCTTGACCGCGTGCAGCTGGAAAGTGGACGCCAATGCGCCATTCCTCGACAGCTCCAGGAAAAAGATGCGCCTGACGCGACTGTGCACCAGCGCCATGGCGCACATGAGGCACGGTTCGCGCAGCAAGTAGACATCGTAGCCAGTGCACAAATACGGACCATATTTGGCCAGATTGCCAGCCTGCAGATCATCATTTACTGAGCTCGGCTCACCGCATCTGGGCAACTCGGCGCCGCACAGCAAATCCCGACTGGCTTCATGCCCCCGTAAATAATCGTAATAGGTTTGTGGCATGCCGCGTAACGTTCGCGTTGCCTGCCCCACATCCTCGACAAAGGATAGTGGAGATGGCCAGGCGCCTCCGCGCTGACTACGCGCCACATGATCCACCAGCCACATGACGCAATGCTGATGACTGCTGCTCCCGCTGCTGTTGCCAGCTGCTTGAAAGGAATTGTGATTAGTTGGAGCAGCTCCTCTGTATGTGAATTATGCTTACCTGCAATGGCCACAATGCTCGGCTGCCGGGGATCAACACAAATGCCGACTGGCTGCCCGTCACACACATCCTTGGACAGGTTGCGCAGCAGGTGCGCCATGCGTTTGTGGTACACACGTTGGCTGGCCGTAAAGTTGCTGCCATTGTGCAGCGATTCGGCGTATTTATCCGGATGGAATTTGCATGGCCAGTAGCGGATCATCTGCTCGTATTGCGTGCGCAACTTGGCCCAACTGGCGGGCACTTCGACAACGTTCACCTTGCGGCAAAGCGCCGCCAGCACCTTGTCGGAGATCTTGTGCAGCTTCAGATGCTGCTCTAGCGTGTCCTCTATGTCTGCTGTGGGGCATATTAGCACGTTGCTGTCATGCACACGCTTCAAGTGCTGAAAATGTGGCAATTTCTGGGCGAGCTCCTCGATGACAATCTGCAGTTGTTGTTTGCTCTCCAGCTGACTGCTGTGCACTTTGATCAGCCGTATTTCGGTTTTGTACTCGTCGGAGAGGATGGCTTTGATGCCAAAGGTGTCCTCATCCAGTGCTGTCGTCTTGCATTTCTTTGCCGCTGGCGGTATCAAAATATCCATAATCCGTATTTGTTATTCGCTGTTTATCAGCCACGCGCTGTTATCGACTAGTCGATGAGTATCGATAATAAATGATTGCTAATATAGCGATAGCATCGATAGCTAGCGATGTATAATCAATTGATATTAACATACGGTTGGCCAGCCGCCAAACGTCATAGAATTTAAAGCAAAATTCAAAGTAATATATTCCGTCTAAAATGTATTTATCTCAAAACGCATTTGTGTGCTGCTTTCACCTTTATTATGGCTGCATTTTCATTGGCGTTTGGGGTCTGCTGATCTCCATAATTGGTTTCATATTTGTCCTAATTGCAATGTTTCCAGAATTTTCACTACTTTGGTCAATTATAGCATTAATATTTATGATGCTATATTTGATTTCAAAAGTTTGTTTGCTTCTGTCCATTGGATATGTAAGTTTTGACACTGACAACAAATAATTAAAACTGTGTATCTCTCTTAATAATTAATAAGATGTATTCTATTTACACAGGAAATTTGTATTTTGGCGCTAGTTTCTTTTGTTTTTGGAGCGTTGTCGATTATTTTTGCACTTGCTATTTTGATATGGCAAATTGTGCTTGGAGCAAGTCTTCTTCCCGTCGTTCTGGGCGTCTTCTTTATAGTAGGTAAGTTGAATTTCAAGGGATCTGACACCTGAACATAAAATAATAAATAGTTTTCTTCTTCAGTGGAAATTTACTTTGCCTATGTGGTAATATCGTATTGGAATCTTTGTGAAAATAGAAGTTTGGCATAAGGTGGCTCTACTATTATATATTATATTATATTCATACACCCTATTTTAACAAACGCGTATATGTTTAAATAATATATATATAAGTATTGACAGCACATTTGAAAATTCATCAAACTCGCTGTACTTGTAACGATTAACAGTGCCATGCTAAGTATAACAGATACTGTTAAGTATTGCTGCATAACAGATCAGTTTAGATCACTTACTGCAATAGCAGCACCTTTTGAGTACGCTTATAACGTTAAAGTTTCAAGAACAACTTTCTTGAATAATGATTTGAACTTCTACATTTGTAAAATAAAGTTTAAGGTTTAACAAATAAATAAAAGGTATAATTGTCATTTAGCCAAATAAGCTGTTGAAGCTGCAAAGTGATCTCTCTCCAAGGCGAATGCAATTTTATAACAGTCAAATGATTTGCGACGGCGGCAACGCATTTAGTTCGTTTCGAAACGTCGTGTGGGTGAGTCGTCGTCGCTGCCTGCCGTTCGGTCCAATCTTCGTCGTCGTCGTCGTCTTCGTCGTATAACGCGCGTGCGTGCAACACTTTTTGGATTTGTTGCTCACAATTGGAAGTAACGGTGCGAAGGTGAAACTGGAAAGTCAGCGAAGCTTACCAAAAAATATGCAAAAGTGCATCTTCAACTGACAAGTCGGCAATTTTTTTGCATTTTGTTATTAATTTATGTGCGCAAAAACAAAATATTGCAAAAAAAATAGATATAAATAAAGCATAGGCAAAGTTCACAGCCGGTTTAGTCATACACAAAAATTCTGAGAAAAAACTCAGCGCGCAAGTGAATTGAGAATCGCCAACTGTCAGATATACAACCAGGTGTGCGTGTGAGTGTTGTTTATGGATGTATATATGTACAATGTGTATGTGTACATGTGTCTGTACGTTTAACAGCTGTTAGACTGCACTTCCAGTTTAAATTGCGTACTTATTCGGTATTTGCTCTGGCGAACAGGCAGCGATAAGATACAGATACCCAAGACGTTTGTCCATAATTCGCACTGTGTGTGCGTCTGTATGTGTGTGTGTGTGTGCGTGTATTTATCTTATCGGTTAAACATTGATTGGAGCAGCAGCAGCAGCAGTTGTTTGCCGGGTGAAGTCATTTGCGCAGCGACTAAGCTTTTGAGACTATGGACAAGGAGCGCCGCCAACTAAATAGATAGCACATATCTAACCTACCCGTCGTAAAGAATATAAAAACGAACTTGCGGAAAAACCAGCCACACAATCTTTGGCTAAATTTGGATTCAAACCAAATACCAAAGAAGGCATTGCCAACATAAATCAACTGACAACTGCAGCAGCAACTGCAGAAGCTGCCAACATGGACATAGAATCTGACTCAGACACCTGGGAGGACTTTTTTGGTAAGTGCTGCTGCAACAGTGTAACAGTTCGTTGAACCTGCCACCAATCAGTTGCACGAACGATCGATGACTCAGCTCAGTTCGGCTCAGCTCAGCTCAACAGAACTGCGACAGTGTTGTCAGCTTTAAAAGGCCAAATTGCATATTGCATTATTTGCCACAGCTAACTAAAAGAAAGCCAAATCTGCCAACACTGAACTGCACATAGAGCACACTTAGAGATGGCAACATTTTGACACGCGATCATCTCTGTTGCATGCAAGGTTCTGTCTGTTAAGGAGATGGGTGGAGGGGGTCGGTAGGCGTACGCATTTTCGCATCTTTTAACATTCTGTCTGTTTGTCTGTCTCCCTCGGTCTGCTGTCTGGCCAAAAATGGCAACACACACAGACAGACAGACAGCCAGACGCCGACAGAGGCCTGGCTTTGTTTTTGGTCTTCGCTGGCGTAGTCGTCGTCACTATAACTGTACACTTGAGTTGAAGTGCGTTTTGCTGTAACGGTTTCCAGTTCCATGATTTTTGCGAGTTTGCGTTTTTCTTTTCGATTCGTGTGCTTCGCTTGTAATGAAATTTAATGATAATACATAATTTTTTTGTTCGTTGTTGTTGTTGCCGATTTTTGACCCAAATTACGATTGAGCCAGCCGAGAGCCAAGAGCAATTGCCCCTTGTGGATTGCAGCTTGCTGCCCCTTTTGCATGGCATTTGGCATTTTATGTTAATGGCCTGCCTGCGTCTTAATTATGACCTCGATTTATTTGTTCGGCTCGTGCTGCCTTTGTTATTACAAGCACCGCTTGTAATCAAGAGCAGTTATTGGGCGGGGAATGGGGGACTGCTGTCACTTGTCCCTCGCCCAACACTAATTCAATTGTGCATTAGTCACAACACTTTATATAAATGCGAGCCACTTTTGTTGATTTGCTTAACGGCGCCAATTCCACACTCTTAGGTAACAGCTCCACTGTTAGTTCGAATGTCTGTATATAGTTGCTAGAATCGACTCTGTTTATGAGTAATTTTTACGTTCGTTCCGTGGAGTGGCTTTCCACGCTATCCGCAGTCGTTCTAACAGTCGTAAGTGGGACAGACAGGATCACTGTTAGTTAACATGCAAATGTAAAACGTGCGGTTTTCCAGTGTGCTATTATTGCACTGCTAATGCGTAACATATGACTGAAAGATGTGGAACGGAACTAAAAATCAAAGGCTTTTTCTAGCAATCGCTGCGCATGTTATGCATACATGTGTATATAATATAGTTGCTCTGTTTACTGCTCAACTGGCAGATCAAACAAGTTTAGAGCAATAACCCGCACACACATGCGCTTCAGACACTTGACTTGACTGCCTTCCATTTAACAGATAGGCAAGTGCATATAACAGACATGTGTAGAATGACTTCCAGTGCAAGCAGATAAATGATATCGATGTTTAGACAACATTTGACCGCTTGTGCTATCAAATGTCACAGTTACTTAGAGACCGCCTCTGTTGTTGTTTGTATGCTTCGTCAAAAAAAGAAATACAAAAAAAAAACGAAAAAATGAAAGTCAAATAGAAAATTTGTCTGTTGTTGCTCGTTCGAGTTATTGACACAAGTGTCCACTGCGCAGGTCAACTCGCAAACTCAGAATGCTGCCCCCGCCAGTTTTCCTCACCTTTCACAAATAAACACAAACACAAACAAACACAAGCACACACAACAGACGACACACACACACACACACAAGGAGCACAATATGCCTTAACGGCTGCTGCTGTCAAACCGCAAACACCGCGGGAGAGTCACAAATCGACGCGACTCGGGTCTCAAGTCTCCAGACTGGAGTCGTAGAGTTCATTTGATATTGTTGCTCTGCTTCTGATTGTGATCTGTGAAAGAAACCTTTTGGGGCACACTGGCTGTGCCTCTACCTCTGCCTCTGCCTCCTTCTTCGTGTTGTTGAAGCTCGAGTAGACCAACCAACGAAATTTAAATAAACAAAATATACAATACATAAAAATACTTGTTGATAGATGACGTTTGGCTTCTAAGACTAACCACAAAAAGTCTTTTTTTGTTTTAAATTAACTTATTCGAAGTAAGAATCTTAGAATAACTATTTCTCCATTTAAGAAGGCAAATTTTAATTTGGTCTCTATTGAAACAATTTGAAATTAATTTAGTTAAAGTTAGAGTCTTAAAATGATTAATTCTCTATTTGAGATGGTTCATCTGCTCTTTTGGTTTAACTTACATGAAGTAGAGTCTTGGAATGACTATTTATCTTATTTTTTAAGTAAGAGTTTTAGAATGAATACTGCTCAATTTAAGAAATTCATTATAATCTGCGCGCACTTAAAACAGAGTATTGCACAGCCGGCTGATTAGTCCTAAAACGTTTTTACGTGTTTATTTAGTTAATTTGTTTTTGCTTGATTTGTTCGTTGTACTTTTGAATTTTCACATTAAGCAGATACATATAATAACTAATAGTTATTGCTAACACTATATATATATTTATATAATGTGTATGTGTGTGTACTACTTGTGTGTGTGTGTCTGTGCTCGATAAGATTTGTCGTATTGTTTTGATAACGCCGACAGGCAAGGCCAGTCATGGCCGATAAGTCACGAAGTCGCAGTTTATAGATAACTAAATAAATGTATACACATATATATGTTTATATATAAGCTCTATGCCTTGATCCAAGAGGTCAGCTTTGCGCGTCGCCCATTTCCGTTGCCCAATTGTGGCGCATGAAGTTTAATTAAGTTAAATTGAAACAGTTCAAGAAAATTGACGCATAATCGGACCCACTGCAGTCGGTTCATTGGCCAAGTCATGATGTGCCATACTTATGTTAATTAATTCCCATCAATACACACACACACACGCACATTTATATATATATATATGTGTGTGTAGTTACATAAATTATTACCTAACCCAAAAGCTGTCTTCTAATTGCAATAAAGCTCTCTCAAATCTCAATGATCTGTCTCTCTGACTGTGTGTGTGTGCTGGTGTGTGTGAGTGTGTTGTGTGCCTGCCTACTTAAGGTACTCCCCGACTAGACGTGTGTTGTTCCCTGTGTGTGCATGTGTGTGTGGGCCGTGAGTCGGCGTTTGTCTGGTTCTTTTCGGGTTTGTTGTGATGCCGTTCTTCTCTAATTGCCAACGTTGGCATTTCTCTCAGTGTACGCAGACACGTGGGCGTTGCAGAAGGTCGTAAAACTTGCCAGGCGATCATTGTGCACGCACGTTCCAAAAGGTTTTACTCAATGAAGCCCACAACAACTACTTAATACCCTGTAGTTGGACCCAACGGGGAGTACTCGAGTTCTCCTTCTTCCAAGCGAAAAACAGATAGAAATATAATATAAGAAATACGAGCGAAACTAGAGTTATCCTAAAGAGGAATGATATAGTTGGCAGATCGATAATTATTAACAATACTATATAGAAGAATTAAAAATGCCATATAAAATCTTTAAATCTTCCTATGCGTATAGCTTTACAGCTCATGCCAAAGTCGATCAGTTTTTGGGTGCAGCATTCATGCCGCATGCTGTGTTTGTTGCAAGTTGTGGGACTTTGACTTTAATGAACGCTTTGTGGCATCGCCTCGCCAAATGCAACTGCAAATCGTTGTCATATTCCTTACCCCTTTGCCCCGCATCGTCGCTCACAATTCTATTTGGCAGCAAATTTATAACTTCCTTGGCAAATGCCATTTGCTTAGACAGTTTACGCCTACCCCCGGAGAGTGGCGCGGGGGCGTACTCGCGAGCTCGCTTAAGGCCTGGCTTAGAACCAAATGAGTGACAGTTTGGTGGCAGGCAAGCAAAGTGGCAGGCAACGTCAGGAAATACGGGGAATATACTCGCCAAAGAATTGTATTGTATTTTTTATTTTTATTTTTATTTGTTCGGTTGACTTGCACGACATGAGTCACGGGCCAAGACTCGCAACAGTCAGCGGTTCACAGATACTGCAACTGTTTCCGAACACTGGTCGAACTCTCTCTCTCTCTCTCTCTCTCTTTCTCTCTTTCTCTCTCTCTCCCTCTCCCTCTCCCTCTATCACTCTCTTTTACTCTTTCTCGATCGGTGCAGGCTTGACGACAGCTGGTGACAAGCGCATTACTGCATTTTATTGTGCCCTTTCAAGTGGGCATCATGATTTGGTTATGGAATGTGTCACGACAAGAAAATGCCAGCTGAGCAGAATAAAAATATAGTGAGAAAGAGATAGAGAAAGAGAGAGAGAGAGAGAGAGTCGCTTTAGGTATATCCCTCTGATAATATATACAGATTTATGTTTACTGCACACAGTCCACTTATCCAATTCAATTAGATTATTATTTTTATTTTATAGCAGTCTTGAAAACGATTAGTCAAATTTGTAAGTTTTTACAATGCGTACAAATTAATTGGCTTATTACACACTTAATAATTAAGAATACACCCGAAAGTAGATTACCATATCAAATAGCTGTCAAAGAAACAAAAAAACGATTAATCGAAAATTAAGCTCTGTCTTGACAACTTTATTAATTAAAACGATATCTTTTACAAATGTAGCAATTAACAGCTGTATTATAAGCCCAATAATTAAGATAACACTCAACAACAATGAATTAGAAACGATCAGAAATTAAGTTTTCTGGGTTCAGTGTGTATCTTGTCTAATCTCAACCATTTATAAATAATTTTAGAAATTTGATCACCATTCAATTTAGTGAATCGTAAACTGTTATCGTTGAGCAAGGAGAGTATTTCAAGTTCTTTCATGCTTCTGATATCGTTGACTTGTTTTTTTTTTTGCTTTTGTTTTTTGTTTTTGTTGCCTGCTGCTGCTATCAGCTTTTTGTTGTTGTTTGGGATTTTGGATTTCGGTTTCTAGTGAAAGTTATTTTTCATGCGGATCGCCAGTTGTCAATTTCGGTGTGCGTCTCCAACTTGCCTTTCCATTTCACTTTGAGCCACTGGACTGGAAAGCTGTGCCCTGTC